CAAATTACACTTGTAAAGTGTCTTTCAGTTACTAATACTCTATGTGATTAATCTTGGTTTGGAAAATGTGTAATATTTCATTATCAGCATTTGTTTTTATATTATATACATCATCTTGTGAAACTTTCAACATGATTTCTATACACGAGATCTTGCCAAGTGCATTTAATAGGTGCTGTTTCAATGTTGACCTTAAAGGTAAATAAGCCCTTAAATATATGATATTTTTATAAAGAAATTGTAAGTAATATTGATCCACTTTAAAATGCGAAATTGTTTTTAGTGAAAACGGGTTACAGTTGAGGTACCTACCTTACATGGGAACAGAAGTTTATAAGTTGGACCTTTCTTATTGAGACACTGCTCATTAAAGGAGTAAGGAGCAAATCATTGTTGCAAAATCCTCTATGAGACAAAGTTTGTCTTTTATACCCCTTTAAGGGGTCTAGAAGGGAAAGGTATAAAGTAACAGAAATAATGCAACTTGTCTTTGTTTTTATTAAATAATAGCTATAATGGTTTAAGTGCAGTGTCCTACACTTGAAAATGTATTGGCAATTTAGCAAGTACTACTCTGTCACCAAATACAAATCTGGATAAAAGCACTGCTATGTTTTTTTTATTTATTTCTCTTAAATGGCTTGCTACCAATTTCAAATTTCACATTTTCCTCTGCATTACAATGGACTGTGTTAACGTCAGAAACAATTTTGTTGTAAATTTCTAATAGTTAAAAATTTAAAAGAAAAGTAATTTTCCTAGTGATCAGTTGGTTAGAAAGGAAGATATACTTGTCAATCTAGGAAGATGTAAGAAAAAGTTCCCTGGCAGGTTAATAAATGAGGTAGATGACAACTCGGCTCGTGTTTGGTCCAATGACCAGATAGATCCATCGCCCATAGTTGCTTTATAATTTTTTTGCTTGGGTACTTTGAGACACTTGAATTTGGATTTTTTATAGCATGTTCTTGTTGCAGTAACTAAGGAAGCATGCTGCAATTTTTTAAAGTAATATTTGACAGATCAGTATCAGCACTGCACTCATAGCAGGGCTATAGCAACCACTGGAGAATGAAGACTAGTTGGCCTGCAGCATTTGCAGGTAGAATACTTCATCAGAAGACACATTTTTATTTTCTGTTAAAAGATACAGTTACTTGATATTCACAAGACTTTTATTAAAAAACACTTAGACCTGGAAAGGCCAAAAACTGTCTGCCCCAAGCAGGTAAAAACTGCCTAGACATGCAAGTACAAATGAAGATGGTCTGCATGCATAATGTATGTCACAATTTTCACACAATCATACACAGTGATACACATTGCACGTTAAAACAGCTGACTGCTTAAATATTGGCAGTACTTCAGTAGCATCTTGAAGAATTAGCATCTTTGGTCCATTAAATATTTTTTAATGATGTCAATGAAATGAACAGTACATCGTGATCTATGAAACATTGCCTCCTTGTGCTATGTGAAAAAAAAAATCACTGTTGCTGCTGTTTTTCCCACTGTTCTGGTGTTAATGTTTTCTGAGAAAAGGCATGGATAGATTTCATTTCCTCTTCCAAAACAGAATTCACCAACCTGAAAAAGATGTAAATTATCTTTTAATATTATGAAAACTTTAATAATAATTGTAACTCATCGCAAACGCCATTAGACGGCAATGTTTTAATTTTCATTAATGATTATTTTTGCCTACCTGTGCCTTTGTAGCAGAGGCTTTCCTTCAAATTTTTTAGAGACTATGATTGCTTGGAACTTGGCTCCGCAGCCATCAGATAGATCTTCTACTTCCTGGAAAAAGTTTTATAATGTTTAAAAAATCGAAATGCTCTCAGAAAGAGTGATATCTATGATGTGTTGAAAGCAGACACCAACTGTCAATGTCAGACTGACATATATGTCCATGGTCTGGCCATGACTTTCAATGTAGCATTGACCAGTCTTGAACTAGAGAACGTATAACTGATTGTTAAAACCGTACTCTCAATTAACGATAATTCTCACCAAGTAAGACGCTTCCAGTGCCTTCTGTAACTTTTCCTTTATTTCGTCAGCGGTGTGAGGCATTTTGAAAGGTTTTATATTTGAAAGAGACTGAATAACTTAAAACGAGCAAACATCACATGGGCGCTGACATCTTTATTTTACAGGTTCTACGCCTTCAATGTTTTTTTTCTTTGTGCGATCCCCGATTATAGTTTCCATTCACTTGGTAAATAAGTGTAAAAATTTATTAATTTTATTTACCATTTTTTAGACTGAAATTAATTATGATGATTTTAAGAGTGATTTAAGGTCATTATTGGTGGCTTGTCATTATATAATATCAATCGTTCAATACTTTTAAAATGAAAACGTAAATAAACGTCACTTCCGATGTACACAATATGGCGAGCAAAAGAGATGACATTTTCTCAGTGATACATGTAGGTATACATTTATTTTCTTTTGTTTTAATGTCATTACAAGCTCAACTGGTCAGTGGAGATGACACGTGTGCAAAGGAGGACATTAGAAATGCGTATCTGCAGGCTTTTAGCAATGTATGCCATGTCAATGTAGAGAAGACTTTGAAGCGATCGATGAAGTCTTGGAATTTAGCAGACGATGATTTACTTGTGTCGACATTTCCCATAGACCCAGACTTAAACAACTATGTTAGAGAGGTCAAGGAGGCAGTTTTTTCAATTGTGAAGCCCATCTCATTCAAAACGCCTTTGCATCTTGTTGCTTATTCGAAGGAAGTACTGGAAGAAATACTGGATATGGACCCTTCCATAGTGGATGAAAAAGATTTCTTAGATTTTGTGAGTGGGACTGAGATTTTAAAAGGAACCACTCCATTGTCACACCGTTATGGGGGTCATCAGTTTGGTATATGGGCAGATCAACTGGGCGATGGTAGAGCAGTTTTACTAGGGGAATATGTGAACAGAAAAGGGGAGAGATGGGAACTTCAATTAAAAGGATCGGGGAAGACACCATATTCAAGGCAAGGAGATGGGAGGGCAGTGCTTCGGTCCTCTGTTAGAGAGTTTCTCTGCAGTGAAGCAATGTACCATTTAGGTTTGTATTCTTTGATATTAACCATTGACTATTATAATGGGCATTCTTTAAAAATAGGAAATTCAAACTTTATTTCTTGATAAATTATATGTACCGATATTTTTGTACATTGCATACCAATAATACATGTACATGTTCTAATAATATGCATTACTACATGTAGTACTTAAGATTTAAAGAAGTATGTTATGTTCAGTACTATGATATATTGTTATCACTTTGAAATCAAAGAACAAAGCTGGTATATTATTTCTTATGTTATGAAAATTTCATATTTAACATGTATAATTAGCTATGTACATCACTAATTAAAGTTTGCATATTATTAAATTGTAAGATCAATAGTTTTTATACTGGTTTAGTTCAAGAATGTACACTTGGTTAATAATTATTATTGTAGGCATTCCCACCAGCAGAGCAGCCACCTTGGTAACCAGCAGTGATCCTGTGATGAGGGATCAGTTCTATGATGGCCATCCTAAGGCAGAAAGAGGGGCAGTAGTTCTACGCCTTGCTCCTAGCTGGTTTAGAATAGGATCTCTTGAAATACTTGAAAGGAATAAGGAATTTGATCTCTTGAGACGTTTGACAGATTTTGTAATCAAGCAACACTTTCCTCAAATTGACATGAAGGATAATGACAGATATTTGTCATTTTTCTCCCATGTTGTGTCACAAACAGCATACATGATTGCTAGTTGGCAGAGTGTTGGTTTTAGTCATGGAGTGTGCAATACAAATAACTTCAGCCTGCTTTCTATCACAATAGACTATGGACCATTTGGTTTTTTGGATGCCTATGTTCCCAGTTTTGTGCCCAACTCATCCGATGATGAAGGCATGTATAGCTATGACAAGCAGCCCGATGTTGGCTATTTTAATCTTGACAAGCTACGAATAGCCCTCATGCCACTTCTTACAACAAGCCAAAACAATCAGATGAAGGTGATATTGCAAGGATATGTTGATATTTACAAGAAGAACTTTTTGACTTTGTTTAGAAACAAACTTGGACTTGCAGGAGAACAAGAGCAGGATGAATTCTTTCTTGCTGTTCTGTTGAAGATTATGGAAGAAACAAAATCTGACTTCACAATGACTTTTCGAAATTTAGGTGACTGGAAAGTGAGAGATATGAAAATGTACTCTGTTCCAGATGATTTATGGGCACTTCATCAGTTAGAAAATCACAAGTATTTCAAGCAGTGGGTGAAAATGTACGTAGATAGAATAGAATTTGTGCAGATTCCTGATGAAATGAGGATGAAGAAAATGAAAAATACTAACCCTAGGTATATTCTCCGAAACTGGATCGCACAGACTGTTATAGAACAAGCAGAAAATGATTACTTTGAGGGAGTGCGGCAACTATTGACAATTTTGCAGAATCCTTATGTGGAGAATGAGTATGCAGAAAAGATGGGTTATGCTTCACAACCACCAAAATGGGCATCTTCACTGAGAGTTAGTTGCTCATCTTAGCCAGCACAGTTTTAATGTTATGCATTGAAGAAATTTTTCATTCCTATGTTGTAAACAGTATTAGTTCATGTGATTATGATAATTTTAAAATCAGTTGCAATTTACCTAGATTATTTAATTAAGCAAGAATTTAGCACTTTATCATATATAAAATTTATGTGTGTTACTGTGTTTGTGTGCCTTTATATTATATATGGAATAACGTGTGTGTTTGTGTGTGTGTGTGTGTTTATGAAGCAGTATGATGGATATCAGTTCAAGCATATCTTGACAATCCAGTAGAGTAAGATAATGTATATTATATGATCTCCATCTTATACATAATTGGTTTATATCTATNGTTTCCAGACAAGAGATTGATTTAATGATTTATCACAATAGGTTAACAAGGTTTAGATGGGTTAATTGAAATAAATGTAAAGTCATTTGTATTTTGCTTTCAGCTTGGCCATAGTGATGTTGCTATCTTTCTACTTCTTTTCTGTGATTGGGATGGAGATATTTGCTCCATATACAGACAAAATGGTGAACTGTTGCAAGTGAGTGAATATCTGAATTAAATGGAAAAGGATGTGGAATGTTGAAAAAATAAAACTTTTAATAAATAGTCAGTTTTCTAATTAATGTTTTTTAATATATATAAATTAAATTATATATAAATCCTGTGTCATTGTTTGCTTATTTACTTACAGAAACACATCGGTTGCTGATTACTATACAAAAACCAATTCCAGTGATGGGTTTTATTATCTCAACAACTTTGAAAATGTAATGAGCAGTGCAGGTAATATAAAATAGCCCTCCAAAATCTTAATTTGTGAAGAACATTAAATAGGTGATAGTTTGAACTTGACCAAGTACCCTGAAATGTAATGTGGAGGAAATGTTTTAAAATGATGTGACTGTTAAATTTTGCATATTAAATGCCTATTGTTAGAAAGTTACTGTTGGGTCTACTGTTATAGTTTTACTTTATTCACTAGTTTCAATATATGTACATATTCATGCGATTTTACTATTTAATGATTTTTAACTATCATTTTTTCAGTTACTCTGTTTGAGTTAACAGTAGTAAATAATTGGTTTATTATCATGGTAAGGATTTCATTATCATTATTATAACTATTATTTGTAATTTCTAATATTTGCTTATTGCTAGATAAAGTGGCTGAGAAAAAGCTATATTTATTAAGACATGCATGACTATTTCCAATATAAAGATTATCAGTATTTGTTATACTGATTTTGTTCTAGTCATTCAAAATGTGCTTTGACTAGTTAAGACACCTTTTGTGTGAACTGCTATTGAAGATTAGAATGCAGTTTTTGATTTGATATTTGTTTTATCTTGTTGTTTAATAGGAAGGGTATGCATCAGTGGTCTCTGAATGGAGCCGGATTTACTTCATGCTGTTTTACTTATCAATGATGGTAAGTATGAAATTAGGGCATAGAGACAGAGTGAATTTTTGTGTTTTAAAATCTTTCTGTGAAATATCATGCTTTAGATTAGGATATGCTATACTATTACAGAGTATAGCCATCTATGGAGGTCACATGGTCGAATGACAAGCACAGATTTCAGAATAATTGCTTAAACTGCCATTTTTTGTGGTGAAATAGAATATATTATATTTCTTTGAGTTGTTTACAATATTTTTATTGTGAAATATAGATCTCATACGAAGATTTATTATCCCTTTAAACACCTTTGTCATTTTAGGTGGTGATGAATATTGTTGTTGCATTCATTCTGGAAGCCTTCATCTTCAGAATTCAATACAGGAAGAATGTGGATGATGATATGGATGGTAAGTGCAATATAAGATATCAATACTAACTTTTTACTTGTTAGTAACTCACCTAATGGTGGGTATTAATGGCTGAGAGGATACTTCCTAGGACTATGTGGGGTGATACCAGCCAGCCTACCAGACTCTCACATAAACCATATTGACAGTACCTTGATTTTATGTTATATCTGGTTAGCTAGCAGAGAAGATATTTAAAATTGGTCTGAAACAGATCATGGTGCAGAGAGCTGTGTTTCTTAATTTCATAGGCAAAGCATTGAATGTTGGATGCCCATACTGCCATGCATGTCAGGTAGACTTCTTATAAAAGACTTGATGTAAGAATATAGTATGGTAGAGAAGTGCCATACGTGTCAGGCTGCTTCTTCATTGTGAATTGCACAGATGAGAGCTTACTACCAAGAGAGGTGCAAAACTCAAACCTTCCAGTGATTATTCCTCTTAAAGGTAGTGTTTGACATGAAATGGTTATTCACATCTCAGTGAGAATTATCACTCTTGTATCAGCATGTTTGACTAGAAAAAATTAGTTCCCTTTGCAGTCAATTGAAGATGATATTTGATTGATATTTAAGGTGTGATTTATTTCTTTTCCAGACCATGCAGTGGTTAAATTAGAAGTCACACTTCACCCAGAAGAAGTGGTGATGGTGGATAGTCGGGGAGGACATCTTTCTGATTATTATATGAGGAATGCTGTATTTGAACAGGTTAGAATGGTTCATAAATGTCAGCTCATTAAGATCAACTTATCAAAGCAAAAAATGATATTGGTTGCTTTAAGTCCTTATTGTGTATTTTTTTTATGGACTTAAAGCACTTTTTGTGCTCACCTTGTTCCTGGAAGCATTCTCTGTGTGTGTTTTTTTCTCAAAAACATTTCCCTTTTATCATTTATAGCATGTACAAGAAGGCCATGGGACTGTGTTCAGAGGGGAGAGAATTCGCAGCAAGGAAGACTTCAGCATAAAGATGTATGAAGATGAAGTGAAGGTATATTTCAGTTCTTTTATGAATTATCTAAGCCATGTTTGAAAATTCCATAATATGTGTTCATATAGGTGCAACCAGGTAAGCCTATAGTTTTTTAGATTTTGCAAACTGAAGTAATTTCTGCAGTAGGTTCTATTACATCCAGAACTTAAGTTTGTTAAAACAGTTTTTACTGGTGAAAATGTTCACTTCATTTAAATTTCACCTGCAGGAATGGATAGCAGAAGAGACTGAGCAGCGGCAACAGTATGAGCTTCAAATGCAAGAAATGAGAAGGCAATCCCAACAAAATGGTTTACAAATCATGCAGCCAGATCTCATAGCAGATGATCATTATGAACGTTCCAGAACTAGCACATATTGACAATGTGTTATTAATCACTTCTTCACTCGTGGGCACAGTTAAATTCACCAGTGGTGTACAATACAGTAGTAGTGACATGGGTGTTACAAACCCATTACCAGAGACAGCAAATGAAAACCTTGTTATATTTAATTGCTCTTTCAAAATTGCCAGGTTATATGTATTACATTTCAATTTTTGTTAACTTGTGTGTCTCAGTCATATATTGCATACAATAATGATAATTGTATGTCCATTTTACTTGATTGGAAGAGAGATGACCAACATGCCTTAATGCAACAGCTATTTGTATCAGAGCCAAGATTTGACGTTTGCTTGTCTAGATAATTGATTAGGCCAAGTCTTCAGGATGAAATCTCATACAAATTACACTTGTAAAGTGTCTTTCAGTTACTAATACTCTATGTGATTAATCTTGGTTTGGAAAATGTGTAATATTTCATTATCAGCATTTGTTTTTATATTATATTCATCATCTTGTGAAACTTTCAACATGATTTCCATACACGAGATCTTGCCAAGTGCATTTAATAGGTGCTGTTTCAATGTTGACCTTAAAGGTAAATAAGCCCTTAAATATATGATATTTTTATAAAGAAATTGTAAGTAATATTGATCCACTTTAAAATGCGAAATTGTGTTTAGTGAAAACGGGTTACAGTTGAGGTACTTACCTTACATGGAAACAGAAGTTTATAAGTTGGACCTTTCTTATTGAGACACTGCTCATTAAAGGAGTAAGGAGCAAATCATTGTTGCAAAATCCTCTATGAGACAAAGTTTGTCTTTTATACCCCTTTAAGGGGTCTAGAAGGGAAAGGTATAAAGTAACAGAAATAATGCAACTTGTCTTTGTTTTTATTAAATAATAGCTATGTTGGTTTAAGTGCAGTGTCCTACACTTGAAAATGTATTGGCAATTTAGGGAGTATTACTCTGTCACAAAATACAAATCTGGATAAAAGCACTTCTATGTTTTTTTTTTATTTATTTCTCTTAAATGGCTTGCTACTGATTTCAAGTTTCACATTTTCCTCTGCATTACAATGGACTGCTTAACTTCAGAAACAATTTTGTTGTAAATTTCTAATAGTTAAAAATTTAAAAGAAAAGTAATTTTCCTAGTGATCAGTTGGTTAGAAAGGAAGATATACTTGTCAATCTAGGAAGATGTAAGAAAAAGTTCCCTGGCAGATTAATAAATGAGGTAGATGACAACTCAGCTTGTGTTTGGTGCAATGACCAGATAGATCCATTGCCCATAGTCGTTATATAATTTTTTTTCTTGGGTACTTTGAGGCACTTGATTTTTTTATAGCATGTTCTTGTTGCAGTAACTATGGAAGCATGCTGCAATTTTTTTTAAAGTAATATTTGACAGATCAGTATCAGCACTGCACTCATAGCAGGGCTATAGCAACCCCTGGAGAATGAAGACTAGTTGGCCTGCAGCATTTGCAGGTAGAATACTTCATCAGAAGACACATTTTTATTTTCTGTTAAAAGATACAGTTACTTGATATTCACAAGACTTTTATTAAAATACACTTAGACCTGGAAAGGCCAAAAACTGTCTGCACTAAGCAGGTAAAAACTGCCTAGACATGCAAGTACAAATGAAGATGGTCTGCATGCATAATGTATGTCACAATTTTCACACAATCATACACAGTGATACACATTGCACTGTTACAACAGCTGACTGCTTAAATATTGACAGCACTTCAGTAGCATCTTGAAGAAATAGCATCTTTGGTCCATTAAATATTGTTTAATGATGTCAATGAAATGAACAGTACATCGTGATCTATGAAAAATTGCCTCCTTGTGCTATGTGAAAAAAAATCATTGTTGCTGCTGTTTTTCCCACTGTTCTGGTGTTAATGTTTTCTGAGAAAAGGCATGGATGGATTTCATTTCCTCTTCCAAAACTGAATTCACCAACCTGAAAAAGATGTATATTATCATTTAATATTATGAAAACTTTAATAATAATAGTAACTCATCGCAAACGCCATTAGACGGCAATGTTTTGATTTTCATTAATGATTATTTTGCCTACCTGTGCCTTTGTAACAGAGGCTTTCCTTCAAATTTTTTAGAGACTATGATTGCTTGGAACTTGGCTCCGCAGCCATCAGATAGATCTTCTACTTCCTGGAAAAAGTTTTATAATGTTAAAAAAATCGAAATGCTCTTAGAAACAGTGATATCTATGATGTGTTGAAAGCAGACACCAACTGTCACTGTCAGACTGACATATATGTCCATGGTCTGGCCATGACTTGCAATGTAGAATTGACCTGTCTTGAACTAAAGAAAGTGTAACTGAGTGTTTAAACCGTACTCTCAATATTAACGATAATTCTCACCAAGTAAGAAGCTTCCAGTGCCTTCTGTAACTTATCCTTTATTTCGTCAGCGGTGTGAGGCATTTTGAAAGGTTTTATATTTGAAAGAGACTGAATAACTTGAAACGAGCAAACATCACATGGGCGCTGACATCTTTATTTTACAGGTTCTACGCCTTCAATGTTTTTTTCTTTGTGCGGATTATAGTTTCCATTCACTTAGTAAATAAGTGTAAAATTTTGTTAATTTTATTTACAATTTTTTAGACTGAAATTAATTATGATTATTTTAAGAGTGATTTAAGGTCATTATTGGTGGCTTGTCATTACATAATATCAATCGTACAATACTTTTAAAATGAAAACGTAAATAAACGTCACTTCCGATGTACACAATATGGCGAGCAAAAGAGATGACATTTTCTCAGTGATACATGTAGGTATACATTTATTTTCTTTTGTTTTAATGTCATTACAATCTCAAATGGTCAGTGGAGATGACACGTGTGTAAAGGAGGACATTAGAAATGCGTATCTGCAGGCTTTTAACAATGTATGCCATGTGGGTGTAGAGAAGACTTTGAAGCGATCGATGAAGTCTTGGAATTTAGCAGACGATGATTTACTTGTGTCGACATTTCCCATAGACCCAGACTTAAACAACTATGTGAGAGAGGTCAAGGAGGCAGTTTTTTCAATTGTGAAGCCCATCTCATTCAAAACACCTTTGCATCTTGTTGCTTATTCGAAGGAAGTACTGGAAGAAATACTGGATATGGACCTTTCCATAGTGGATGAAAAAGATTTCTTAGATTTTGTGAGTGGGACTGAGATTTTAAAAGGATCCACTCCACTGTCACACCGTTATGGGGGTCATCAGTTTGGTATATGGGCAGATCAACTGGGCGATGGTAGAGCAGTTTTACTAGGGGAATATGTGAACAGAAAAGGGGAGAGATGGGAACTTCAATTAAAAGGATCAGGGAAGACACCATATTCAAGGCAAGGAGATGGGAGGGCAGTGCTTCGCTCCTCTGTTAGAGAGTTTCTCTGCAGTGAAGCAATGTACCATTTAGGTTTGTATTCTATGATTTTATCCATTGACTATTATAATGGGTATTCTTTAAAAAAAAATTCAAACTTTATTTCTTGATAAATAATATGAACCGATATTTTTGTACATTGCATACCAATAATACATGTACATGTTCTAATAATATGCATTACTACATGTAGTACTTAATATTTAAAGAAATATGTTATGTTTAGTACTATGATATATTGTTATCACTTTGAAATCAAAGAACAAAGCTGGTATATTATTTCTTATGTTATGAAAATTTCATATTTAACATGTATAATTAGCTACGTACATCACTAATTAAAGTTTGCATATTATTAAATTGTAAGATCAATAGTTTTTATACTGGTTTAGTTCAAGAATGTACACTTGGTTAATAATTATTATTGTAGGCATTCCCACCAGCAGAGCAGCCACCCTGGTAACCAGCAGTGATCCTGTGATGAGGGATCAGTTCTATGATGGCCATCCTAAGGCAGAAAGAGGGGCAGTAGTTCTACGCCTTGCTCCTAGCTGGTTTAGAATAGGATCTCTTGAAATACTTGAAAGCAATAAGGAATTTGATCTCTTGAGACGTTTGACAGATTTTGTAATCAAGCAACACTTTCCTCAAATTGACATGAAGGATAATGACAGATATTTGTCATTTTTCTCCCATGTTGTGTCACAAACAGCATACATGATTGCTAGTTGGCAGAGTGTTGGTTTTAGTCATGGAGTGTGCAATACAGATAACTTCAGCCTGCTTTCTATCACAATAGACTATGGACCGTTTGGTTTTTTGGATGCCTATGTTCCCAATTTTGTGCCCAACTCATCCGATGATGAAGGCATGTATAGCTATGACAAGCAGCCCGATGTTGGCTATTTTAATCTTGACAAGCTACGAATAGCCCTCATGCCACTTCTTACAACAACCCAAAACAATCAGATGAAGGTGATATTGCAAGGATATGTTGATATTTACAAGGAGAACTTTTTGACTTTGTTAAGAAACAAACTTGGACTTGCAGGAGAACAAGAGCAAGATGAATTCTTTCTTGCTGTTCTGTTGAAGATTATGGAAGAAACAAAATCTGACTTCACAATGACTTTTCGAAATTTAGGTGACTGGAAAGTGAGAGATATGAAAATGTACTCTGTTCCAGATGATTTATGGGCACTTCATCAGTTAGAAAATCACAAGTATTTCAAGCAGTGGGTGAAAATGTACGTAGATAGAATAGAATTTGTGCAGATTCCTGATGAAATGAGGATGAAGAAAATGAAAAATACTAACCCTAGGTATATTCTCCGAAACTGGATCGCACAGACTGTTATAGAACAAGCAGAAAATGATTACTTTGAGGGAGTGCGGCAACTATTGACAATTTTGCAGAATCCTTATGTGGAGAATGAGTATGCAGAAAAGATGGGTTATGCTTCGCAACCACCAAAATGGGCATCTTCATTGAAAGTTAGTTGCTCTTCTTAGCCAACACAGTTTTAATGTTATGCATTGAAGAAATTTTTCATTCCTATGTTGTAAACAGTATTAGTTCATGTGATTATGATAATTTTAAAATCAGTTGCAATTTACCTAGATTATTTAATTAAGCAAGAATTTAGCACTTTATCATATATAAAATTTATGTGTGTTACTGTGTTTGTGTGCCTTTATATTATATATGGAATAACGTGTGTGTTTGTGTGTGTGTTTATGAAGCAGTATGACTGATACTAGTTCAAGTATATCTTGACAATCCAGTAGAGTAAGATAATGTATATTATATAATCTCCATCTTATACATAATTGGTTTATATCTGTCTATCTATCTATACTGTATTGTAGTTTTTATGTATTGTAGTTTTTATGCAAAATGCTAAATGTGATAATGTAAAGGTTTACATATGAATGTAGGGATTTGGTTTTGAAAGAAAAATGACGAAAAACGTGAATAATTTATTACATGTGTTATTTATTGAGGGTAGGGGATGTACATATACATCTTACCTGTAACAAGTGTTCCAGTATATTATGAAGTGAAAATAACACAACTAGGCCCTAAGTGTTAAACTACATTCTGCATTATGTAAAGTCAAGGAAGTGGATAGGAAATTTCTTTTTTGGTCTAGCCAAGACGTTGGAGAGGTCTCCAAATTCTTGGCCTAGCCAGTAGTGTTAGCTGATCTTGAAATATCAGTCTAGGTTAATGGCTGTTATATATATATATATTATTCCTCCTTACATGCAATATGCCATTTTTTTTTTTTTTTTTTTTTTTGTTAATGCAAATGCAATAAACTGTTAAACTTTCAAGAATAATCCACAGTTGTCAGCAGTTAAGTTTTCAGGATGTAGTTCATTTACTGATAAAACTATCAAAAATTCCATCTTAAATGTATTTGCGTTTTCCTGATTTTTCTAGTAAAAGCAGTTGGATCTGGTTTCAGGCCTTTGGCGCTGCACCCCAAGAACCCAGTCTTAAGTATCAGATCTACTGTAGTTTGATTAAATAAAATTGTTGCCAGAAAGTTAAATGTAATTACAGCATTGTTAAACATTGACGTGTTGAATTTCCATAGGGACTGGAAGTTACTGGTGAGCCACCATATGCTAACGACTTTGTGTTTATTTTTTTTCGTAAGAGATGCAGTTTTGCAAATACAGTCAGATGCCCCCGGTTTTTTTTTTTTTTTCTTTGCATTTGCATTTGCTGCAAATTTTATACCCGTCTTCAAACGCGTTATTAACACACTTGCGTTTGTGCATCGTTGGACAAACGCCTGCTGCGCAAGAAAATTACACAAGTAGAAAATCCCAGATTTTAGAGTGGACACTGTAAACTGATAGTATTTTAATCGTTCTGAACTAGCGTTGTAGGAAAGTTTTGTTCACGTGACAGCTGGTATTCAGCTTGTTGGAAGTCGAGTGCTTGGTGGTGGGAACGTTTGCAGCTCCTGCTGTTATCTGTATCATTTCTGTGACGCGAAACGTTTACTTGGAGACGTTACACAAGATGCCATGCTTCTCTGACAATAATCAGAATACCCGTCTGTCTGCTGACTTAGTCGAAAACAAACTGAAGGAGAAGATGAGTCTTATCTGAGGCAGACCAGACGTTGTTTTTCGGTTATTTTCCAAGTTTTGAAGAAGTATTGTTGGAATTTCATCTAAGCAAGGTAACTAAGTTCATTTGATTCTCAAGAAGGGTAATTCAAACCACTTTTATAGATTTTAATTTTTACATCTCTTACAGAGGGAGTGAACAATTGTTAAAAACCATGTTGGAAGGGGTTAGCGGGTGCGAATAAGGATGGTCTATAAAAATCTGAGAAGCATCGTACTAATTTCACGTCGCGGTGCAAATGTCCCTTTTAAAGTGGTTTATTTGCTCTAACTCATCACTTTTCTTAAGCTAAATATATGTACGTTATCAGGCTGAATGCCTTCCAAGGACAAGGGGCTCTGGTGGGGCACACAAGGCCAACGTGACCTATCAGCACGAGCTGTCAGTTTCTTTCCTTTGAATTGTCCAAGTGTATTCATATCATACGTGAAAAAAATGCGGCATGTTTAACCTATGGAGCATTGCCGGTTGTCGGGCGGCAACTCCGACATTGCTTGAAAGTGTATTGTCAAATACAGGCACTCTCTGACATCACGTAACGTATAAAAAGGTTGAACGTATTACTTGAAAACACATGTGACGGACCAATTTACAGTATTTCACAAGCAGCTATTTCCTGGCAGTAACGAAGATTGGTTGCAATTTATTTCGGTAACGCTTATTAAATTTTCTAGCTGTAGAAAAACCTTTGAAAACTTTGTCTCAAACTGCATTATACTGCAACCGAGTTAACAGCAATTTTTTTTCTTTTGCGTAATCTGCTTAAATTCTTAAATTAGGTGAAACCGTGTGAGTCCTTTTGGCAAAACAATTTGTTTCAAATTGCAGAATCGCGATTTGGCACACTGGAGGTCTTTCTGTTTGATTCTTCGAACAGCTGCCAAGTCCCAGGTACGAGAGCGGTGGATTTTCATAACTACGAGTAGATATGCGCCACTAAGTAACTTATGCATGGGGCCCACTTACACTGCCCCTAACACTAAATATGCAAATGTCAATGAGTTTTGTAAGATTAGGTATTTAACTTATTCTTTAAGGTAGATTTCCAAAACACCCACGATGGATTATCTCCGGGAAGAGGCGTTGGAATTGTACCTGGTAGGGACAAACAAGTCCACGGCGTTAAAGGTGCGAAATATGACCCGGGGGTCGGTGCCACTGATGACATATCAAACCAACCTGGAATCACTGTTCATCCCTATCGTCATGGGCCTTCTTTTTCTTCTGGGAATCATCGGTAAGTGTGTGTCATAAATTTGTTTAACCTTACGATGTATTTTAAGGTTATAAAACGGTCAGTGTCAAAATCATTCTGTTCGGAGGATCGTCACATTAACTGAACTTCAAATTTCCTACCTACAATCATTTGCTGTTTAGTCTACAGATGTAAGTTTCCATGTACAATGTATCATGTATGTAGCAAACTTACTCTTCAGTTTTTGTTTAGGCTGTGGAATCTTTTTCATTGCTTAGAGCAGATGTAAACAGTTGATATTCAATTCTTACAAAGAGGAATCACATGATTCCAATTCCACAGACTTCAGAAGGAAAGAAAGGCTTGGCGTTTGGATAGGTTTTAACTGGATAACTTTAGCTTAGAGAGAAAAAACTAAAATATTTAGAAAGAGCAGTAGCAAAGGTACAAATACTTTTACTGGAAAAATTATCATGATTTGCCCCAAACTACCTATTGTAAACGGGTAATATTTGACTTTTTCAACTCCTACGCCCATCTAGCTAGTCAACGGAATAATGTTGCAGCGATATCAGGAACAGAAATTATTCAGACTCGTTACATGCCAACGATTCACGTCTGGAGTTCTGCCTTTAACACAAACTATAAAAATCTATCCCTGTGGGTGTCTTGGTCAAAGTGCCTGTCACCCGTTGTGACAGAGCCAATCGCTGAACATGAGACCATGGTCAGATTAAAAGTATGCGTTGCTAAGGGAAAAACACTTCACCTCGCCAGAACGAAGTCAGTTTATTTATTTGTTTATTTTCTAATCGATTAATTAATTTATTGTTTTTGTGTCTCGGCAGTTAGTCGTCTTCTGTCAAATATTCAGATCACTTTCCTATTGAAATAATCTAATCAGACACCGGCTCTATTAGCAAAATCCTGCAAATAGAAAAAAGTAATGGAGATGAAATTGCGTAGAATTGAATAGTAAATGCATACTGCTGTGCTACTTTTTGTTGGAATTTTGTTAATGGATTATTCTCGCCTATAGTAATTTGTTTAAGATTAGATTTCCTACTGAAAAGTAAATTAGATTTTTTAAAGACGTCAAACACCCGTGGGAGGAGGCAATCTTGAGAAGGTAGGCTACACATCCTCTGAGGGGAAAAAAAAACGCGTTCAAGTAGGCGCGCGCACGTATAAAGGCGTTTTCAGTTAAGAGGTGAAGAAATTTATGGCCATTTCCGAGGCAGAATTCCCAATCTTCTCAAGACTGCATTACTAACCTCATTGCACACACACCCTCTAGGAACAAATATTGCCTGTAAAACTGCTGTTTTTTTATCGTAGTATTGTGCTGTTTATCCAATTGTTAAGCAAGTTTGCCAGATAAAGTATAAAGTTTACGGGGTAAAATCAATAAAGAAAAGTTGTTTAAAAAGCGAACAAAACGCACGCAAGCCGAGACAGCCTGTCTGCTACTAGAGCAGCTGTACTTGAACTGAATTGTGCAATAATATTTTACTGGATAAATTAAAACTAACGATAAAAGTACAAACATTTCATCACATCAACCCATATGTTGTACCAGGCGCGTATGTCTATCAGTAAATTATTTAGAGGTTGGAAATCCGAAACACAACTTGGCTGTCAGCTACCGCATAAATACACAGGGACTTTCATGCGGTCATCACGGCCTCCATGTGTGGTCGCCCACCTGACCCAAGACGGGATCCGACTGCAGTTTCTATATATTCATAGCGTGTTTAGTCACGTGCTTACGAAAACATGAGATCATTGTTTTATTTATCCGATTCATTTAGCTCTAATTTTTATTACATTTAATTTGGGGAGGAAGAGAGTTGGAGGCAATAAAGTGTCCCCATTCAAATGCAAAATATACCATCATGTAATAGTAGGGTTTATTTTAATAAAATAATTAAATATTCTTAATTGTGTTTATCTACATTCTTATCTCAACATTGATTATTAGTCACGAGAATAGGTGCCCGATTGAGGGCTTAACTAAACGTCAAAACGTTATTATTATCAAAGGATATTAAACATGTTTCTTTATGTATGCCATTAATCATTTTAGGTAATATCACGGTGATATATACCGTAGCCAGGCATCGCTCCATGCACAGCGTTCCAAATATCTACATTGTTAACATAGCCATTGGAGACTTACTGCTGCTAGTAATTGCTCTGCCTTTTCAAGCCACGATCTTCACCCTAAAGGAATGGGTATTCGGTGAAATAACTTGCAAAATCAGCGAGTTTCTGCAGCCCGTTTCGCTGGGTGTGACGGCATTCACGTTGGCCGTGCTGTGTGCCGATCGCCATGCCGCCTGGGCAGGAAACCCACGCTATTATCTCCTTGCAAGAACTCGTAAACTGAACATCGTGGTCAACACCGTGATTGTCTGGACAGTTGCACTGGCCATGGGTGTTCCCGATCTTGTGTCCAGTTATATAATGCACTATCCAATCAATAAAGACCTGATTCTAAAAGTATGCAGCGTCTTTCCGCCTACGTGGGGCGCTCTTTACCCTATCATTCACGACACAGTGTGGTTTAGTGTTTTATTGGCGCTGTCTTCTGTAATATGCTGGGTGTATCTTCTACTCATTTCTATCCTAATTTGCTCTAAAGGTTACCAAGTAGCAATCTCAGATGACGTACACTACCGACCGGAATTGGATGAGAAATCCAAAAGCGACAGCAAAGAAAAGGACAAAAGAAAAAATGGGTCTTCCAGGCGACATCCAAAGGGTAAAAGAAGTCGCGAGGAAAGAGAACGACAAAAACGATGGACCAAACAGCGTAAAAATTCCACATTGGTAGTCACAGTCATGTTAGTTATGTTTATATTCTGCTGCCTGCCACGTTACATTTTCCAGCTTTGGTTTCATTTTGACAAACAGCCGTACAACATGTTCTGGTATATTATGAAACTCGTTGGGTTTTGTTTAAATTTTGGCCATGCGGTAGTCAACCCTTTTGTTCTTTGCGCATTGGATGATCGTTTCAGCGAGCACTTTAAACGTTACTGGCTCTACGGCTGTTCTTCGGCAAAGAAGAGGATTGCCCTCATGCAGCAATTGGTCAATACATCAGAAAGTTCGGAGGCTGATGAGACAGAAACCACCGTCAAAACGCAACCAGATATCTACGAAGAGGCGAAACTGCCTAACATCGCTCCACGCTATCAGACTATGAAGAGGCCTGCTCCTATATACAACCACTATCCTGATGATGTTCATTTTGGCAGCACTGATACTTACAAATATCCATATGTTCAAGATGACGTTTCAACCTTTGCCATTTACATATAGATGTAGATATATTGTGTATAGTAATCCATTGAATCCTACATTTTAGGCTTTAAATCAATGCGTAAAATGTGAAAAATGTGCGCTTACAATATTTAGTTGATGCCAGGACCATTGTGACTGGTCGTAGGTTGAGACTAGGTTGTATTCAAGAATATTGCGTCCTAAGTTGAGATTACGAAGAATGTGTTTGTTGCGAATGTTTCTTTACTGATTGTGCTCGGGGCAATATTCAGCGTTTTGACCTCGATTGCAGCAAAAACGATTACTGTAATTGATTAGACGACCTTGAAACATTGAAGTGAAATACAAATTAGGCAGTATATGTAGTATTGTAAGCATGATGGAATGGGCAATAGCCTTTATCTTGTTATATAATTACTAGCAAAAGAATAATAAGGAAAACTGAAATAAAGCCGAGAAGAAAAGCGGAGCAGATAGCGGTCCAAATCCAGTATTTTATTAGCCTACTGTTTATGACATCTTAATATAATAAAAGACTGCGGAACAAATACAATACATACAATACTTTGTATTTCAAAGAAAATAAAATTGGAATAATTGAAGACGATACGCTTAAATAGTCTGACAATTTGTTTGTGATCTAATGCTGACTGGGGAACGGGGTATCGGCGGGCACACGTCCGTTTTCTTTTTCATTTTCCTCTCAGAAAAACGGGTAAAACGCAACAAAATCACATATTTATTCCAAAAATAGATTAATAAATAAATAGTCGCGTGTTGCTTTATATATGTTTCGTTTCGCTTTGCAAAATGATTTTATTCTTGTGGCCACCCCTTTAACAAAATCCTGGATCGACACATGCGATCAAATGCATGCACACGTGAGATTCGAGAGGTCTCGTTTATCAAATTTAAATTAAAAATATTTTAAATCCCTATTTTGCAAAATATGTGAACGTGGTCGAGGAGGTAATGAAATTATAACTCCTGCAGAACTTGATAGTTTGTCATTACCAACTCAAGGGGATTGTCTTGAGGGGCCTAATCTTGGAAAGGTGAGGCACACCTAAAAACTCCATATGAGGTCATAAATGTTGTCTCCGAAAGGGGTTATTCACATTTGGATTCAGTCCCTTTTCGAGTTTATTTACGCCACAACCTTTGCATTCTTTAACACATTCGGATTATCCTTATAAAAGATAAATGGTTGAACAATTATGAATGAGTTATTTTTCTAAAAGAACTCACGTTATTAATACGAAAATCCATGTGTTAACTAGAAAAGCACTCGGAGAGCGCAGACCTCAGCCAAGGCAGCAAAGTCTCCACCCAATGCCGTTTCACCCCTAAATTTTCATTTTATAATGATTTAGTTTTTTGATTGTTGATTGTTGATTATTAATTGATTATTGATTGATTATTGATCTGGATCACCACCAAATCCAGGGGTGAAAACATAACTTCCTTGGCGGATGTTAAAAAGCTGATGATCGTCCCGCGAAAAAACTCGAACTCAATGATTTCTATGGGTAAACGGATTTTTTTCTCACTAACCAATCTTTGCCCCTCCTTTCTTGACACTCGCCATAACTCTGTAACCATCTGGAAAATGCAATGTTTTTTTTTTCAAGTTTCGCCATTCTGTGGAGCTCTTTGCACTGACTTCCACAGGCACTGCGCTCAATGCTAAGTCTTTGCCTGTGCTAGTCTTGGGAACTTACTGGTATCATACAACTGTACCTACTGTACGTAGCTTATGTCTGGAATACTGCCTCAAAATTGTCACTAGTCCACAGGGGACTATGTAACTCTACCCCTAGACGCGTTATAATCTGTGAAAGCTTTATTGCTTATTTTAGAAAAAAATATGCTGAGACGCTTTCACCAAAACCTTTGTTCTCGTAACGCGTTTCTTTTAAGGCACCCATACCACTAGCCCAAATACTTCGTGCTATCTCTCCGGGGTAAAAGTTAGTTGCGCATGCAAGTAGGCCTAATCACTCTTTCTCACTACTTTTCGCGCCAAAACTCTATGAAACTTACACAATACAGCGACCTTTCTATCCTTTCGCTGTCAGAAATTGTGTTTTAAGGGGAAATATACGCCATGTACCGGTAGGGCACAGTCTGAGTCAGAAGCAACTTGGTTTGACCCAAAAATTAAATTTCATTCTGAGCTGGCTCTTTCGATCTCTTTCGAATCGGAGCCTCGGCAACCACTTGTCACTCTAATTTCGGGGCCGTAGTGATAGTCCGAAGGTTCAATAGTCCGAAGGTTCATTGGTCCGAATGTTCACCATAGAACCGTCGGANCGCCTAACATCGCTCCACGCTATCAGACTATGAAGAGGCCTGCTCCTATATACAACCACTATCCTGATGATGTTCATTTTGGCAGCACTGATACTTACAAATATCCATATGTTCAAGATGACGTTTCAACCTTTGCCATTTACATATAGATGTAGATATATTGTATATAGTAATCCATTGAATCCTACATTTTAGGCTTTAAATCAATGCGTAAAATGTGAAAAATGTGCGCCTACAATATTTAGTTGATGCCAGGACCATTGTGACTGGTCGTAGGTTGAGACTAGGTTGTATTCAAGAATATTGCGTCCTAAGTTGAGATTACGAAGAATGTGTTTGTTGCGAATGTTTCTTTACTGATTGTGCTCGGGGCAACATTCAGCGTTTTGACCTCGATTGCAGCAGAAACGATTACTGTAATAATTGATTAGACGACCTTGTAAACATTGAAGTGAAATACAAATTAGGCAGTATATGTAGTATTGTAAGCATGATGGAATGGGCAATAGGCTTTACCTTGTTATGTAATTACTAGCAAAAGAAAAAATAAGGAAAACTAAAATAAAGCCGAGAAGAAAAGCGGAGCAGATAGCGGTCCAAATCCAATATTTTATTAGCCTACTGTTTATGACATCTTAATATAATAAAAGACTGCGGAACAAATACAATACATACAATACTTTGTATTTCAAAGAAAATAAAATTGGAATAATTGAAGACGATACGCTTAAATAGTGTGACAATTTGTTTGTGATCTAATGCTGACTGGGGAACGGGGTATCGGCGGGCACACGTCCGTTTTCTTTTTCATTTTCCTCTCAGAAAAACGGGCAAAACGCAACAAAATCACATATTTATTCCAAAAATAGATTAATAAATAAATAGTCGCGTGCTGCTTTATATATGTTTCGTTTCGCTTTGCAAAATGATTTTATTCTTGTGGCCACCCCTTTAACAAAATCCTGGATCGACACATGCGATCAAATGCATGCATACGTGAGATTCGAGAGGTATCGTTTATCAAATTTAAATTAAAAATATTTTAAATCCCTATTTTGCAAAATATGTGAACGTGGTCGAGGAGGTAATGAAATTATAACTCCTGCAGAACTTGATCGTTTGTCATTACCAACTCAAGGGGATTGTCTTGAGGGGCCTAATCTTGGAAAGGTGAGGCACACCTAAAAACTCCATATGAGGCCATAAATGTTGTCTCCGAAAGGGGTTATTCACATTTGGATTCAGTCCCTTTTCGAGTTTATTCACGCCACAACCTTTGCATTCTTTAACACATTCGGATTATCCTTATAAAAGATAAATGGTTGAACAATTATGAATGAGTTATTTTTCTAAAAGAACTCACGTTAATACGAAAATCCATGTGTTAACTAGAAAAGCACTCGGAGAGCGCAGACCTCCGCCAAGGCAGCAAAGTCTCCACCCAATGCCGTTTCACCCCTAAATTTTCATTCTATAATGATTTAGTTTTTTGATTTTTGATTATTGATTATTAATTGATCATTGATTGATTATTGATCTGGATCACCACCAAAAACTAATCATCTGTTCCTTGGCCCACTTCTGACAGTTCCTGAAAATTTCATCAAAATCGGTCCATAACTTTTTGAGTTATGTTGATGACAGACGGACAGACAGACAGACAGACAGACAAACAAGCAGGGGTGAAAACATAACTTCCTTGGCGGAGGTTAAAAAGCTGATGATCGTCCCGCGAAAAACTCGAACTCAATGATTTCTATGGGTAAACGGATTTTTTTCTCACTAACCAATCTTTGACCCCCCTTTCTTGACACTCGCCATAACTCTGTAACCATCTGGAAAATGCAATGTTTTTTTTCCAAGTTTCGCCATCCTGTGGAGCTATTTGCACTGACTTCCACAGGCACTGCGCTCAATGCTAAGCTTTGCCTGTGCTAGTCTTGGGAACTTACTGGTATCATACAACTGTAGCCTACCTACGTACGCCTGGAATACTGCCTCAAAATTGTAACTAGTCCACAGGGGACTATGTAACTTTACCCCCAGACGCGTTATAATCTGTGAAAGCTTTAGGCCTATTCCTTATTTTAGAAAAAAATATGCTGAGGCGCTTTCACCAAATCCTTTGTTCTCGTAACGCGTTTCTTTTAAGGCACCCATACCACTAGCCCAAATACTTCGTGCTATCTCCCCGGGGTAAAAGTTAGTTGCGCATGCAAGTAGGCCTAATCACTCTTTCTCACTACTTTTCGCGCCAAAACTCTATGAAACTTACACAATACAGCGACCTTTCTATCCTTTCGCTGTCAGAAATTGTGTTTTAAGGGGAAATATACGCCATGTAGGGCACAGTCTGAGTCAGAAGCAACTTGATTTGACCCAAAAAATTGAATTTCATTCTGAGCTGGCTCTTTCGATCTCTTTCGAATCGGAGCCTCGGCAACTACTTGTCACTCTAATTTCGTTTCTACAACGATCAATGTGTGAAATTTCAAAGCCAATACTGTGTTCACATGACAGAAGAAGGGCTTGCACATGCAATGTACGCTTGATCTCATCAAGTAAATTTATTAGTGAGAAAACAACGGGAAACTTATACCGTCCCGACAAATACAAAATGTCCAACGGTCGCTGTCAAATAGGTCCGGTTAACTATTTGCAAAATGACAAATTTACGATTGAGGCAACTCAATATCTTTAAGAGTAACATCTATGTCTTGGAAATGGTCTAACAACCACGCCAAAGACTCCCACATTCATGTAAAGACTCGAGACAATCGAATGTCATCACTGTCCATCACCTGGATCAGTCCCAGTTTCAGCTTGTCTTGGTTCCCAGCGACACACTGTGGTACAAACCACTCATTTCGAAGAAACAAGAGGGATTCCTTGGAAGAAGGTGAAGAGTCAAGAATGATGGAATATGTAATTTTGTTATTTAATTAATTAATGAAAAAATAATGTAGATACGTAATTTTCTTGCATTTGATTTATGCCGGAGACAAAACATTAGTCACACAGAGGCTGACTCCGCACTAACTACAAAACATTGCAGTCTCAACGTGCAACTGCAGAAGCCGGCTGCAAGGATTGAGTGCATTTTGAGGTCACGTTGCTCGCATATAAAGCTGACGAGATCATTTCACGCTCATAATTTGTAGTGCTAGAGTCAAGGTTATGTTCTTGCGTCGCTTGATATGCACTATTAGACGAAATAACAATGTGTATCAATTTCCAGTGATGCCAGCGGTGATAGTGAAGGAGTCGGAGTAAGGAGGACAGATCGAACTTTCAATACTAGAATCCCGGAGACCAATATTGCAGATGTGAGTTTGCTTATTTAAACATGTATATTGTTACCTGTTCGAGTTTCTAGCTGTAATGAGTAAGCAAAGATTTATCGTGCATTTTTGTTATAATAGTATATATACATGTATTAGTATTCATGTCTACAGTGTTACTTGTAGTAGTACATGTTATGCATGTGCATACATGTAGTGTATACATTTTTACCTGTACTCACTTAAGTTTTATTGAAGTACATGTACATGTCAATCCGACATGTATGTCATGAAATGTAGATGCTTGAGTGAATTGCTATATTTTGTCCAAATTGACATGTATGTCATGAAATGTAGATGCTTGAGTGAATTGCTATATTTTGTCCAAATTGACATGTATGTCATGAAATGTAGATGCTTGTGTGAATTGCTTGTGTGAATTGCTATATTTGGATAGTGCATTTTGTCCAAAATGGGATTATATCTGTTCTTCATTTTTTCAAAAAAAAGAGGTTTATTTGGAAAGTCATTGAAAATTTCCAAATGGAGTAACAAGCAAATATTTTTTATGCCTCACAACTTCAAAAGTATTTCATTTTAGGCTGCTTATTTTATGTTTGTGCCATAAAATCATATTTTGAGTATTTTGGGACACTTGGTTACTACCAGTGCAGTGAACATGAATGACTTCCTGAAGAAGGTGAATTTTTTCCCACAAATTGCACTTTCTTAAATTCACACAGAAGTTGCCAATTTGCCCTGCATTTGACATTTCCACATTTTGATAAAATGTCTTTCATCCCATGTTAATGTCTTAGAGTTCAGCATTTCAAGTGAGAAACTAGAATATTAATATCTTGTTTAGTGCTTTCAAAGTGTCTTATTAGTGTCTTATTGAGTCCTTCTCCCCCACTAATTGCTTTGAGGCTTGAATGATGTTTTATGCAATTAAAGAGGAATGAAAAAACGGGCAATAAAACTAACTTGTGGCATACTTTAAGATGTTGGGAAGAATCTTCAAGCTGCGAGCTTTTATCTACCTGTTTTCATTCATTACTATTTTGATTACAGTGACAAATGATACAGGGCAATAGCCATGAAAGGTGGATTTTGCCGTGGATGCTATCTTTTGCTGTCTATTAGTTACATCAGTGCAGAAAGTTTATAGAATTTTATATTTCATTTGAAGTTCAAACCTGTATTCATATTCCTCTCAATATTCAGCCTATGTGGGCAAATTCCTTCGCTTTAACCATTTGTACAAATATATATATCCATCTGTATGATTAAATTGCCATCAAGATCTTTATGGGTTATATAGATATGTAAATTTGAAAGTGTCCAAATAATGCCCTAGTATTGCTCATATGTCGAATGGGAAGGTAATTATTAAATGCGTTGCAAAATTGTAAGGCATATGCTGGAAATATGTGCTGGGTTCTTTTCTGAAATAACCCAGGCAAGAAGTAGTTCATCTGGGCCACATTGTGCAGGATTAAAAAGTTGAGTTTTTCTGTCTTATCGAAAAAGATAAAATGAGCCTTTTTTATTCAATTTGGTCCATGTAACTGTCTAGATTTAGTTCACATCTCATTGATGTTTTAACATGTAAAACAAATGCCAATGTTTTTTTTAAATTTGATTTTTCAAAGAAAACCATAATTTTAAGATGTCACACACATATGCCTAAATTTCTTTTCTTAGCCATGATAAACTTAGAGCTATAGAATTCAAACATTCATTAATCAGCAAAAATCATGACAGATGAGTGCATTAGGTTGAAGTCTTTTTAGCAATATTGACAGAATGAATGGTAATCATTTCTCATTGTTTTTTTTTTATGTTTGCAAAGAAAAAAATTATATTGGTTTTATATATTTTATCATGTAGGTTGAGGATTAACCCATTTCTTATGCATAATGTCAGAAGTTAAGCAGCGGAAAAACCGGTCAGCGTTCACCAAGAAGTCAAGAGCACCCCCAGACCATAATGTCTCTGGAGATAAAACAGCCATCACAAAGCCTGCCAAAAAGGGGAAATGTCCCACAAACTTTGTTGAAGCCACAGAGAGTGTTTTGAACATGCATTTGAGCAAAATCAACTTTGCCTGTGGTTTGCTCATCATGCTTTTTATTGGATATAAATATGCTCTCTACACAAAGACACTTCACGAGAATGATATGTGGTTTTCAAATATTAGGGTAAGTATATTGAAAGTAGACTGATTTATATCAGACGTAATTGTTAATATTAAATGATGGCGGCAGCTGCAGGATAAATTTGCTTGACAAGCAACAATGCACTGGAAGCATTATGATAGATACTTTCATTTTCCAATTCTTAATTAAGAAATTGTCCACAGTGCCAGAGTAAGTCTGTGTAGAGGGGCATTAACACTTCATATTAATGACTCAGAGGTGTGAATGTTTACAGGATGCCTACATTATGTTATCACCCCCTAGAGTAACGTGAGAAGAGATGATTACAGTATAAATGCTTCATCTTGAACATGAAGCACCCAAGTCACTGAATTACTTTTTCTTAATGGTATTCCATTATCCTAGCTATATTTGTGTTCATTTCATATGTAATTGGTCTTTTTTCAGTTTCTACATTTTTGCAATAATTTTACCATAAATTATGTAAAAAATATGTGCTAGTGTTTATGTACAGATACAAGAATACAACAAGATGGTAGAAGGCCACAAGTTGAAGTGGAAGTTTAAATTTCAAACCAACTAGAAAAGTGCTAGTAGTCAGATAATACAGATCTCTGCCAAGACAACTCAGTTGTCATTATTTTTAATCAATTAATTATGGTAATGACTCAGTCTTTTTAATGGGGAAAATTATCAATATATTAAGTAAGCAATTTTGGGATCATTAATAATTATATTTTTGTTTATAGCATTTGTGGTGCTTTCACTCCATAGAATAATACTATAGGGTAGCCAACTTTTCAGTTTTCTTTGCTCCAACTTAATGGGGATGTTTTAATTTTAAGAAATTGTGACTTTGAAGGACACAGTATCAGTGAAATTAACAATTTGCCAATTGAAAAGGTCAGGTCATTACTGTTATGGATCACTATAAAAATCTGATTGATTCTTTGTAAGTCTTTTTAGAACTTACCTCTCTGAAAGTTTCATCCATTCATAATGTTTTGCACACTGTTGATAACAGACAGACTGTAGACAACTGGAACCAAAACGAAAGTAACATGGATAGCAGTTCTGTATTAGTTAGTTAACCATTGATTGAGTAAATTAGCTGCAATACTAAGATGCACTTATGTTTGAAATGTGAGTGCATGTATTTGTAAGTTACTGTATGTGTATGCATGCATGCGTGTGTTAATGCACGCATGTGTGTGTGCGTGCACCAGTGTGTATTTGTTTTTGTGTGCAATCATCAAGTTTTCCAGCTAACATTTTTCTACCACAATCAACTAAACTGTGCTCCTAATGGCTTTTAGTGTATTTTGTCAAGACACAAGAAGATGCTATTAGGTATATTTAATGGAAAAATACAATATTGTGTGCCATGACCTGTAACATACACTCCAGATAGGAAAATCTCATTTTGCGTGATGCCTGCAAATATAATGTATTGATAGAAAGTGTGCACTTCTCCAAGGAAAAAAAATGAGGAAATGTAAAGAGATATTATAGCCTCCTGTGGTCTCTATATATCACATGTAGTGTACTACTAAGTTAGAATTTTTTCTTGAAATAATGTAAAAGGTTTTAATTGCATCATTCGAAATTATGGTTATTTTTTCTACTTTCAGGAAGTGGAAAGAGAAATTTCATTTAGGACAGAAAGTGGACTATACTACTCTTATTACAAGCAGTTTGTTAATGCTCCTTCAGTGAAACAAGGTGATCATAAACATAATTATTTATTTTTGTTAAAAAGTAATATTTATACAGCAATTGTTAATCTTTTGCATTGGAATAGTGTGAAATGTTAGCATCTAAAAATGTCCATCACACAAGTTCACTCTACATACATGCATTAATTGCCATATAGGTAAAAAGCTGAACAAAAAATAATCACTTACTAAAATGCATACTGTAGTTAGACATTATTCATGTCTGTTATTATCCACTGGTGGTGCTTTACTGGCTCTGAACCATGACATTATTCATCTTGATCTGCTCCTCAGGGTGGTATGAGCTGACCCATGATAACATCACTGAACATCTTAATACTATCAACGTCCTTGAGAGGATGAACATCTACCAAGAAGTATTATTAGGTTTACTGTATAGATCACTGCCTGTTAAGGTAAGAACTTAAGGTGCATCTAGATTAAAAACCTGCTTATTAAGTCTGTCAGTTTGATTGCCTGTCATGATAACACCAGTATGTATCAGGAAGTGTTTTTATATCTGTCATGTAAAAAGGTTGGATAAAATTTTTGGAGGTTATGTTAACATGACTTTATTTTACTTGCCTAAAGTGACATCTGAGGGAAAGAATCTTGTAATAAAATGGGTTTTCCAGGATATAATGAAGGTTTTTTATTTTGTCATGTTTTAATCAATCCCCCTCTCAGTCATGGAGCTCTAATTTCATTCATGTTGAAGTTACGATGGATATAGATATTGATTTCTAAATTATATACTGTTGACTCAGTTTTTAATATTTAAATGTTTCCTCTCTAGGATTGGTCTATTATGATGATTGCTTGGTTAATTTCAGAATGTGGAACCAGTCTATTTCTACATTAACTCCATATTTGCCTTACAAGGAATGCTGCTGTGTGCCCTGTATGTCACAGCTTGGTTGCTTAGTGGATCTTGGCTGGCAGGTGCTCTAGCAACAGCATTTTATATTCTTAACAAGTGAGTTGTTGAACATCCAGTTATTGATCTGTTAATTACCACGTTTTGCTGACACAATGATGCAGGATTATCTCATTTGGACACATTTTTTTTTCATAATTCATTTTTCATAGCCTATGGGCATGTCTTTTGTTGAATAATGCAAACTGAAATTTCATACTGTTAATTCAAGAAATATTTTCTCTGTATCCTCCAGGGCTGATACCACCAGGGTAGAACTAGCAATACCTCTCAGAGAGAGTTTTTCACTGCCATTTCTATGGGTGGAAGTAGCAGCTGCCACATACTACTTAAGACCTAGACTATCTCTTAGTAAGGAGGTAATAGGGTGAGACTGTGTGTGTGTCATATTGTTTTAGTGTTGTCAGTATTTTTCCATTAACCAAGGAATCGCCATGCACAGCTCTTGCTTTATATGTACAGACACAGATATAACTGTACATACAGCCTTTGCCTGTGTCTGTCGTCATCACCATCACCATTATCGCACACTTTCAGTGTTATACAAATAAAATGAAAACTGTTTTACCTCTTGTCTACAAAACTGATGAATATTCATTAAATTCAAGTTAAAAAATCAGCCTGACTGGACCATTTTTCCAAAAGTTTTTTTTTTCTTTTTAACATATTTTATCAATCGTCATACAAATAAAATGAAAACCATGTCATATTTTGCTTTGAAACTTGCAGGACTGATTCAAAGGTCTGAAATATAGATCTTATACAAAAATCAGCTTGATTAGTTTATTTTTGTTGAGGTTATGCTGTTTTTGTATACTCGTATAAATGAGTTTTCCTCAAATTCATTTCTTAGACAGTCTCAGTATTGAGTTTATTATATTTGTAAAAGTGTTCTTTGACATATTTCTGCATCTTTATAATTTTGTAAATTGCTTATATAAAAATGATGGTAAATCTGTTATCGTGTATTGTGTAATAAAGTGCTAAAAATGAAATAAACTCAATCATTGCAGTTTGTCAGATTCAATCCCCTACTATGTTCTTAATCTTAGAATGGAGCAAATTGAAAATGTTCTTATTGATTTTTTCACATCTTAACAATTTTTTAGATGATCATTTAAAAATGAAAGTAAATTGGGTATTGTGTAGAATGTAATAATTGTTAAAAATGAAAATAACACATTTCAGTACTTTTGTACATTTTGGCATTTTTAAGGTGTTACTTTGAATTTCCATGGGCCTGAAAACCTTTGCTAGTCACATTTTTAAAAATATCTATGTTACCTGCAGTGCATAATTTAAAATTGGTAGTGTTTATAAAGCTGTTCAGCATTATGTAACATTGCATCAGAATTGATAAAAAACTAATTTGTGCACTACAAATGGTCTAAAAGGAAAACTGCGTTACTTATTATTTTGTCACTTACAAAGATGATTAACATACTGCACAAATTGGCAAACCAGCTTCATTGGATTTTTTTCTTTCTTGTTGTCTGTACATTTGACAGCTTTGCTGTCTTGTTTACAGGAAAAGGTCATTTTGCACTCATTTTCTTTTTCTTCTACCCAGTGGTAATACTATGTACTGTAGATATATCAGTGTTTTTAAGTGAAAGTTAATTGTGTTAGTATTATCTTGTAACACTGAGCAAATGCCTTTGTATGTATCTGGATACAAGTAACATTAAAGGTATTGTTTTTTAGAGGCTTGTACTGTGTGTATTGACACTGAGCACATTCTGCATGGCTGTGACATGGCAGTTTAACCAGTTTGTTCTACTATTGCAAGGCTTGGCATTGTATGGAGTGTGGCTGCTGGATATGCTACCTGGATACAAAGTAAGAAATTTGCTTTTGGGTCTGGTTAACACTAGTTGTAACCTACCAGCATTTAGAAATGTAAACTATAAGCATGCATTGCTATGTGCACCTGGGACCTTCCATTTGAAAAAAGAATGGGAATTATGAGAACTTGATTTATGCTGTTAGGTTGAAACCCTTAGCTCTGTTTACAGTCCTACTTCATTTTCTATTCACTTTATATCAGTTTAAACCAACACTCAATGCTGTCTGTATAAGAAAGACAAAAATATAATATTTTTTATATTTTATCAAATGTCAAATATCAGCAACTGATGTAAGCAAACAGTTTTTAAGTCCAACATAACTCTTCACTATTCTGTTATTTTTAGGTTCGTAGGATGTTAGGAGTGATTGCATTTTCACTGCTGGGTACATGTATACTGCAGTATGTGAACACCATGATTCTCTGCTCTCTTGTTCTCAGTCTCATCCTGTCAACACTGTTACTGATGTATATTACAGTAAGTATTTCTGTTTCTTTTACACGAAAAGTTCCCACTAACATCTCTATGGCATAGATAACACCCATAAATTTGGTTGAAAGGTATTGATTGGAATTGATTAAAGAACAATTTGTCTAGAACTGTGCTATATTTTTTGTGCATATTTTAAAAAAAGTATCCACTCTAATATTAAGGAGTATTTCTGCATATAGTTACACATTTTAAGTTCCCAGTTAATTAATTTTATTTTATTTTCATTTTGATAAGTAATTCAAATGTTACACTTGGGAAAGCCTGCTTGCTTAGTTACTGGTATGACACGTCTTGGTTGTAAATCTGTATCTTCTGAGTATTAATTTTTATCAATATTTTATCATTTTTCCAGGGAGATCAACCTCGTCAATGCAGTATTACCACGAGAATAGCAAGTTTATTTCTAAAATTAGTATTCACAGCTGTAAGCACTGTCACTATTAACAAGGCCATTAAGGTAAAAAGATAGACCTTGGATGTAAATCAGGATTTCTTTTGTTATGCAAAAATGTTTTTGATATATATATATATCGCTCATTGCCTTAATGGCATTTTAACTTAGCTGTTTTGTTTGTTAGTTGAAAGGAAGTTTGAACGGGAACATTTCATTATTTCATTTAATATTTTAACTGTTATGGGCTCTGTGATAAAGACACCTCCTTGAGTGATAACTGAATACATACTTAGTCTGTAGTCTTTTGGGTTTTTTTTGCAGATAATTTTGCAAGAAGAAGCTGATGAACACATCTATAAATTTGTGCAGAATAAATTTGGCTTTGGCTTCTCTAGGTAACAAAATAAATTTCATAAGAGATTTAGAATTATCAGGAATATAATACTTGATTTTAAATGTACTTTGTTGTAAAATAATAAAGGGAAAATTAAAACAACTATATGCTATAGTTTTTGCCATTACACGTTTTAGTTAATAGCAAAAATGTTTCAATTGTTTTACTTTAAGTCCTAAAACCCACTTAAAAACCACAAGAGCAAATCATATGTAGTCCTGTTTTTTGTCAATTTTTAGTCTGTTTATTTCTCAGGGATTTTGATGTTCGTATGTACCTGTGCAATGGAGCCTTCCAGTTTTTACCAATGGATACCTATGTTAGACTGACTGAGAGGTTTGTCTTCCCTACCTATGTTATAGTCACCATTGTTCTTCTGGGATGTCTGGTTACAGCACTGATACAGCATTGGTGGTAGGTCGTTTACTTTCAGTTGGTTGTTTTTACAGTGGGACTAACTTGGACCCTGAAATAGTCTTAAGTGACAACATCAGATTACATTGGTATCTTCATATGGTCTTAGTATTGTGAATTTTAAGTTTAATCCATACAGTTTCAGTTGTCCTCGAAGCTTAACTGAATGACACACCTCCTGAAGCAGCTTTGGGGTGATAACTTTAGTGTTCCCTCAGCTTCTGAAATATTTTCTCTGCATTTTGAGTCGACCAAACACACACCAAATTTAATCTCCCATAGTGCCCTTATTTTCCTACATACAAAAGATGATGAAGATGAATTGTCTGATTTTATATATATTTATTATTATTTTTGTTGTGAAGGCCACCTAGTCATAAAGTTCCAGCAGAGGATAAACAGAAAGCAGAGGAAGGGCAGTCTCCCCTTACAGCTACACATCTTCTAGCTAACAGACCTGAATTAGCCTACCACTTAGGTACTTCAGCAATTGGCTGTGCTTGACTTTTCTTGATACTATTCGGACTGTTTGCTGTAACAACATATGATTATGATTTAGTGCTGTAGCGTTTTTTTATTGAAATTCAGTCTTGTTTTACCAGTCACAAGTAAAAGGAACTTCCCTTTAAGCTAGCATTTATCATTCTTCATTAAATTTATATTAAAACGATTTTGGTCATTTTGTTTTGTATTTCAGTGCAGTCTGTTCTGTTTGGTGTTATGGCAGTGATGGTGCTGAGAATGAAGTACTTATGGACACCTTACATGTGTATTTTGGCTTCCTGGGGGATCAGTGATTATCAGACATGGAAATTTGTCCTGGCCAAGCTGAATATCAGGAGAGAGATCTTTGTAAGAATAAAAGAAAGTGAAAAGTCTAAAAAATATATAGCTTGTGGTACCTTTTCTTCTCATTTTCCTTCAGTTACAAAAGCCACTGTAATAAATAATATTTTGATATCATACACATACACAACATTTATAGTTATTTATGGGTTTTTGATCTCAGCAGTGCCAGAGAGATCCTTAAAACCACTGTTTATGGTAGGCACAATGTAAATGTGTGCAACTGATAAGTGAAGACTGTAATTTTGATGTCATGTTTTAAAGCGGAAGATTAGGAGTAGGGTACGTAGTTATGTGAAAGGTTTGCAGGCTCCACATTTATAAAACTAAAACACATGTCCTGTAGTATGTATAAAGTAAAAGTGACTATTAAGTTCTTAAAAAAAAAAGCAAAACTGACTTTTATTCTCTTTATTGATCCATTTTCCTATTGTATTTTCCAGGTCCAGTGTATCAGGCATGTGTCCACGTGTACAATGCTGGCTGTACTACTGGCAGTGGTAAGTTACAGCACACAGGGTTACAACAATATTGATGTATGGTGGTACACTTATAGATAGCACTTATTGATATTAATTCTTATTAGTCTTTGTATTGGCACAGTGATTTGAAGTGTGTGTTCATATTGACACATGATGTGCTTCTAGCTGTCTTAATACAGATGGTAGGAGCTTATAAAATATAACCTGTAGTTTATTAGAACAGCCAGTTGGCATAAATCCTCCATCAATTTCATCATCTTATCAACAGCTGATTTGATTTAATACTAGCATGAACTAGAGCCAGCTTTCAGTGAATTATCCATTTGTTTTATTTTGGCATTAAAATATTTAAACTTGTAAGGAATGTTTTAAGGTGGGANTTTTTCATAATTCATTTTTCATAGCCTATTGGCATGTCTTTTGTTGAATAATGCAAACTGAAATTTCATACTGTTAATTCAAGAAATATTTTCTCTGTATCCTCCAGGGCTGATACCACCAGGGTAGAACTAGCAATACCTCTCAGAGAGAGTTTTTCACTGCCATTTCTATGGGTGGAAGTAGCAGCTGCCACATACTACTTAAGACCTAGACTATCTCTTAGTAAGGAGGTAATAGGGTGAGACTGTGTGCGTGTCATATTGTTTTAGTGTTGTCAGTATTTTTCCATTAACCAAGGAATCACCATGCACAGCTCTTGCTTTATATGTACAGACACAGATATAACTGTACATATAGCCTTTGCCTGTGTCTGTCGTCATCACCATCACCATTATCGCACACTTTCAGTGTTATACAAATAAAATGAAAACTGTTTTACCTCTTGTCTACAAAACTGATGAATATTCATTAAATTCAAGTCAAGTTAAAAAATCAGCCTGACTGGACCATTTTTCCAAAAGTTTTTTTTTTCTTTTTAGCATATTTTATCAATCGTCATACAAATAAAATGAAAACCATGTCATATTTTGCTTTGAAACTTGCAGGACTGATTCAAAGGTCTGAAATATAGATCTTATTCAAAAATCACCTTGATTAGTTTATTTTTGTTGAGGTTATGCTGTTTTTGTATACTCGTATAAATGAGTTTTCCTCAAATTCAATTCTTAGACAGTCTCAGTATTGAGTTTATTATATTTGTAAAAGTGTTCTTTGACATATTTCTGCATCTTTATAATTTTGTAAATTGCTTATATAATGATGGTAAATCTGTTATCGTGTATTGTGTAATAAAGTGCCAAAAATGAAATAAACTCAAATCATTGCAGTTTGTCAGATTCAATCCCCTACTATGTTCTTAATCTTAGAATGGAGCAAATTGAAAATGTTCTTATTGATTTTTTCACATCTTAACAATTTTTAGATGATCATTTAAAAATGAAAGTAGATTGGGTATTGTGTAGAATGTAATAAGTGTTAAAAATGAAAATAACACATTTCAGTACTTTTGTACATTTTGGCATTTTTAAGGTGTTACTTTGAATTTCCATGGGCCTGAAAACCTTTGCTAGTCACATTTTTAAAAATATCTATGTTACCTGCAGTGCATAATTTAAAATTGGTAGTGTTTATAAAGCTGTTCAGCATTATGTAACATTGCATCAGAATTGATAAAAAGCTAATTTGTGCACTACAAATGGTCTAAAAGGAAAACTGCGTTACTTATTATTTTGTCACTTACAAAGATGATTAACATACTGCACAAATTGGCAAACCAGCTTCATTGGATTTTTTTCTTTCTTGTTGTCTGTACATTTGACAGCTTTGCTGTCTTGTTTACAGGAAAAGGTCATTTTGCACTCATTTTCTTTTTCTTCTGCCCAGTGGTAATACTATGTACTGTAGATATATCAGTGTTTTTAAGTGAAAGTTAATTGTGTTAGTATTATCTTGTAACACTGAGCAAATGCCTTTGTATGTACTGTATCTGGATACAAGTAACATTAAAGGTATTGTTTTTTAGAGGCTTGTACTGTGTGTGTTGACACTGAGCACATTCTGCATGGCTGTGACATGGCAGTTTAACCAGTTTGTTCTACTATTGCAAGGCTTGGCATTGTATGGAGTGTGGCTGCTGGATATGCTACCTGGATACAAAGTAAGAAATTTGCTTTTGGGTCTGGTTAACACTAGTTATAACCTACCAGCATTAAGAAATGTAAACTATAAGCATGCATTGCTATGTGCACCTGGGACCTTCCTTTTGAGAAAAGAATGGGAATTATGAGAACTTGATTTATGCTATTAGGTTTAAACCCTTAGCTCTGTTTACAATCCTACTTCATTTTCTATTCACTTTACATTTACATCGGTTTAAACCAATACTCAATGCTGTCTGTGTAAGAAAGACCAAAATATTATATTTTTTATATTTTATCAAATGTCAAATATCAGTAACTGATGTAAGCAAACGGTTTTTAAGTCCAACATAACTCTTCACTATTCTATTATTTTTAGGTTCGTAGGATGTTAGGAGTGATTGCATTTTCACTGCTGGGTACATGTATACTGCAGTATGTGAACACCATGATTCTCTGCTCTCTTGTTCTCAGTCTCATCCTGTCAACACTGTTACTGATGTATATAACAGTAAGTATTTCTGTTTGTTTTACATGAAAAGTTCCCGCTAACATCTCTATGGCATAGACAACACCCATAAATTTGGTTGAAAGGTATTGATTGGAATTGATTAAAGAACAGTTTGCCTACTCTAACTGTGCTATATTTTTTGTGCATACTTTAAAAAAGTCTCAACTCTAATATTAAGGAGTATTTCTGCATATAGTTACACATTTTAAGTTTCCCAGTTAATTAATTTTATTTTAATTTCATTTTGATAAATAATTCAAATGCCACACTTGGGAGAGCCTGCTTGCTTAGTTACTGGTATGGTGTGTCTCGGTTGTAAATCTGTATCTTCTGAGTATGAATTTTTATCAATATTTTAAAAATGCATAAGGTGACTGTTGTTGACATACCTTTTACAATTTTTTCCAGGGAGATCAACCTCGTCAATGCAGTATTACCACAAGAATAGCAAGTTTATTTCTAAAATTAGTATTCACAGCTGTAAGCACTGTCACTATTAACAAGGCCATTAAGGTAAATAGATAGACCTTGGATGTAAATCAGGATTTCTTTTGTTATGCAAAAATGTTTTTGATATATATATATCGCTCATTGCCTTAATGGCATTTTAACTTAGCTGTTTTATTTGTTAGTTGAAAGGAAGTTTGAACAGGAACATTTCATTATTTCATTTAATATTTTAACTGTTACGAGCTCTGTGACAAGGACACCTCCTTGAGTGATAACTGAATACATACGTAGTCTGTAGTCTTTTGGGTTTTTTTTTGCAGATAATTTTGCAAGAAGAAGCTGATGAACACATCTATAAATTTGTGCAGAATAAATTTGGCTTTGGCTTCTCTAGGTAACAAAATTAATTTCATAAGTGATTTAGAATTATCAGGAATATAATATAATATTTTGTTGTAAAAACATAAAGGGAGAAGTAAATCAACTATTTGCTATTGTTTTTGCCGTTACCCGTTTTAGTTAATAGCAATAATGTTTCAATTTTATACTTAAAGTCCTAAAACCCACTTAAAAACCACAAAAGCAAATCACATGTAGTCCTGTTTTTTGTCAGTTTTCAATCTGTTTATTTCTCAGGGATTTTGATGTTCGTATGTACCTGTGCAATGGAGCCTTCCAGTTTTTACCAATGGATACCTATGTAAGACTGACAGAGAGGTTTGTCTTCCCTACCTATGTTATAGTCACCATAGTTCTCCTGGGATGTCTGGTTACAGCTCTGATACAGCATTGGTGGTAGGTCTTTTACTTTCAGTTGGTTGTTTTCACAGTGGGACTAACTTGGACCCTGAAATGCTCTTAAGTGACAACATCAGATTACATTGGTATCTTCATATGGTCTTAGTATTGTGAATTCTAAGGTTAAGGCACACAGTTTCAGTTGCCCTTGAAGTTTAACTGAATGATACACCTCCTGAAGCAGCTATGGGGTGATAACTTTAGTGTTCTCTCAGCTTCTGAAATTTTTTCTCTGCTTTTTGAGTCGACCAAACACACCAAATTTAATCTCCCATAGTGCCCTTATTTTCCTACATACAAGAATGATATTGAAGATATATTGTCTGATTTTATATATATTTATTATTTCTGTTGTGAAGGCCACCTGGTCATAAAGTTCCAGCAGAGGATAAACAGAAAGCAGAGGAAGGGCAGTCTCCCCTTACAGCTACACATCTTCTTGCTAACAGACCTGAATTAGCCTACCACTTAGGTACTTCAGTAATTGGCTGTGCTTGACTTTTCTTGATACTATTCGGACTGTTTGCTGTAACAACATATGATTATGATTTAGTGCTGTAGCGTTTTTTTATTGAAATTCAGTCTTGTTTTACCAGTCACAAGTAAAAGGAACTTCCCTTTAAGCTAGCATCTATCATTCTTCATTAAATTTACGTTTAAAAACGATTTTGGTCATTTTGTTTTGTATTTCAGTGCAGTCTATTCTGTTTGGTGCTATGGCAGTGATGGTGCTGAGAATGAAGTACTTATGGACACCCTACATGTGTATTTTGGCTTCCTGGGGGATCAGTGATTATCAGACATGGAAATTTGTCCTGGCCAAGCTGAACATCAGGAGAGAGATCTTTGTAAGAATAGAAGAGAGTGAAAAGTCTAAAAAATATATATAGCTTGTGGTACCTTTTCTTTTCAGTTACAAAAGCCACTGTAATAAATAATATTTTGATATCATACACATACACAACATTTATAGTTATTTATGGGTTTTTGATCTCAGCAGTGCCAGAGAGATCCTTAAAACCACTGTTTATGGTAGGCACAATGTAAGTGTGTGCAACTGATAAGTGAAGACTGTAATTTTGATGTCATGTTTTAAAGCGGAAGATTAGGAGTAGGGTACGTAGTTATGTGAAACGTTTACAGGCTCCACATTTATAATACTAAAACACATGTCCTGTAGTATGTATAAAGTAAAAGTGACTATTAAGTTCTTGAAAAAAAAAAGCAAAACTGACTTTTATTCTCTTTATTGATCCATTTTTCTATTGTATTTTCCAGGTCCAGTGTATCAGGCATGTGTCCACATGTACAATGCTGGCTGTACTACTGGCAGTGGTAAGTTACAGCACACAGGGTTACAGCAATATTGATGTATGCTGGTACACTTATAGATAGCACTTATTGATATTAATTCTTATTAGTCTTTGTATTGGCACAGTGATTTAAAGTGTGTGTTCATATTGACACATGATGTGCTTCTAGCTGTCTTAATACAGATGGTAGGAGCTTATAAAATATAACCTGTAGTTTATTAGAACAGCCAGTTGGCATAAATCCTCCATCAATTTCATCATCTTATCAACAGCTGATTTGATTTAATACTAGCATGAACTAGAGCCAGCTTTCAGTGAATTATCCATTTGTTTTATTTTGGCATTAAAATATTTATACTTGTAAGGAATGTTTTAAGTCAAACTCAGTGTAGCAGTTTCTGTTAAATGTTTTGTATTCCAGAGTCTACCATCGGTGTGGAAAGAATTGGAAGATTTGCGGGAGTTCTATGATCCAGACACAGTAGATCTCATGGAATGGGTAAAGTAAGTTATAAAGGATAAGGGAGGGTAAACAGGGTTTAGGGTGGTGGAGGGGAGGGTCCAGCTTGAGGTCTATTTGATTATGGTTCTGCAAATGATAGCAATGCCATGTAAATGTAGAAAGGAAAACACCTGAAAACAAGTTTGTGGCTATAATTTTAGTTGCCAACTTAATGGAACATAAATTGCATGTAGATCGTAACGTAAAGAATGAATGTGGTTTCCAAAGAAGCCAATTATTGATGCTGTGGGACTTTATAGTATGTTTGTAGCATCTTAATTATTTCATGAAGATTGAATGTGGTAAATAACATGTCAAATCTAATTAGGAGAAAGATTCGGTAAGAACCATCATCATGATAAGTAGCATCATCAATTTTCCCAACAGTGTATCATAAAACTATTTGGATGGAGATAAGTCACAAATTGTGATGAATTTAAGGAAGGGAAAGTAACGTTAATCTTACTAATTTCTCTTTTGTCATGTGATAATGCAATGTAAAGCTGATGCCTAGTTGCTTACGTAAAACAACAGCAAATTGTGCAATAGTTATTCAGGTGTTTTGTTTAAGAAATGCTGTTTTGATGTGAAACTTGGAAAAGATGGGGACATTTTAAGAAGATGCTGTATTACTTAAACAGAAAAAAATTGATAAAGGAATGTGTATGTGATAGGGTTAATATTAAAAAAAATTCATTGACGTGTTTTTTATTTTTAGAGCAATCACATTAATGTTGCTGAAATACATACAGTTTTTCAAGTCGGATAGATAATTAGTTAATGAGGAAACAAAATGTGATTAAGTGATTAAGGATTTGATAAACCTAACTGAATTTGATTTTAAGGAAAAGTGTGCCAAGGGAAGCAGCTTTTACTGGCAGTATGCAGCTTTTGGCAGGAGTAAAATTGTGCACTGAGAGACATATTACCAACCATCCTCACTATGAAGATAAAGGACTCAGAATGAGAACAAAGGAGGTAAAACCTGCAGTATTTATTTTGTACCATGTTCTAGGAAACTTAGGTTTTATAGTTTTCTATACTTAGTGTTGATAAGGTCCAAACTTTGACTAGCCTGAGACGGTGAAATGAAACTGATATATTTTATTATTAAAGCCCAAAAGCTCTTTATCTTCTTTTATTTTTTCTTTCTGCTGCTTTTTCTATTTCTATTTTCTACAAAGCTTGCTGCATGTTGCATTATATATTTTTTCTTCAGTAAAAAGATCCTTTCATTCTGAACAGAAGACATCAGAAAACTAACATTGCATAAAACAAAACTGCAATAATGCATGGCTTTAACCTTTGAAATCCCCTTTTTATTGTTATTTATTTATTTATTTATTTATTTATTTAATTTTTAGTTATACCAGATGTATGGTCGCAGGACCCCAGAAGATGTCTGGACCATCATGAAGAAGTACAATGCCAGTTATATCATCCTAGAAGACAGTATCTGTATGGCTCCATCTGATGACTGCAGGACACCTGATATCATTGACATGGACAATGGAGTGGTAAAGTCACCCATTTGTGTAGTATATGTGCCCCTTTTTCATTTGTTTGTCATGTTTCAGATATATTTATGTCATAGCTTAAACTTTAAAAATAAGTGTTCCAAGTCAGGATTTTGAATGCATTCTAAGAGCATGAAAACATAAGTTGACATGTAAATGGCCCTTATCAATATCTCAAAAAAATTGACCAATTTGCTTCAGCTAGACTAAGTACATTTTATAGAAGATCAGTTCCTTGCCTCAATCTACATGGAGGGACTTGTAAACTTTCATTTGGCCACTGCATATACATTGTACATGCTACCTACATTGTTTCAGATACCAGACCATGGTAACTTCTCACCTGGACTGGTTCCTTCAAAAGTTCCAAGGTTTTGTGATGAGATACGGTATGGACGCCCAGCATACACCAAGTATTTCAAAAAAGTCTTTGTAAACAGAACATTCAGAGTGTACCAGGTGCTGACTTAGTCTAGACTGGCTTCAATACATGGGGAATCTGGGCAACCAGCACATAGTTTTAAAAAGTTAGATTACGGAAAAATAAGTTGATGGAAAAAGAGTGGGAGAGAAGTTTTGTAATTAAAGCACATGGGCCAGAGTATTCTGGGTAAAGAACAATGTAACTAATATGTATGGCCTTCATTGTGAAATATGACTAGTCCACCACATCCAGCAAGATGCAGAGGTAGTAATTTTGAGGTGCTAGAAAACTATGACTTGTCTGTAGAAAAAAGTATATATTTAACCAACCAAATTTATTTAATTGTAAGAATGAGAAATTGTTTGACAGAGCGTAGGTGCACATTCCATGTAGACAGTCGTATTGTCAAATTTTGTATGTATTAAAAGAAAGAAAAAGTTCATGTTTATGTTTAAGGTTAACATGTTGTCAAGACATTGTGATTTTTTGTTGTTGTTTGGGTTTTAATTCAGTACTAGTGTACTTCTGTCTGTATTGAATGTTTGACAGTGCATTAGTAGTTGGAAAGTTTTGTCAATGTTAGTTGTTTTTAGGAGATAGAACTGAAAGATTTATAAGCAAATATTGTTGTTTTTTTTTTTTTACAATTTGGCAAAAATGTTTTATGTTTATTATTGTGCAATTTATATTGTATTGTTGCAACTGCCTTAGGTATATTTTGTAGCATGTTGGTAATTATATGATATTAGTTTAACTTATAATTGTAAGCACTGCAAGATTTTTGCATGTGCTTCTAGCAAATTAATGAAAGAATAATATTAACTTGAGTTTGATAAGGAGAAAGAAGCAATAAATAAAGGAATAGTCATTTATTACACTTTTTCTTTAAAGTCAGTTTGATTAAGTACAAAAAGGGGAATTTATTTCTTGAAAATTTTTGTAGATCTAAAATAGTCATTTGATATCAGATTTAACATACATGACACTTTAGTGAAAATAAATTAAGTTATTGCACATTTATCTTTAACCTTATGTTGATTATCACTGGAGAAAGTGGAATTCCATCTCTGCCTATTGAGTAGGCTCATTGTCAAATATGTTAGAGTGAATGTTTCTGACCTGCAGGTGTACTATAATTATGAAGCACTTATGATAGTCCTGATGCTTTAACTTAAAGCTCTAGCATGGCTACACATGGCATGTTTGCAACGTGAAACCAGCTCCTTCTGGTAGAGCAGAGAGTGCACTCACAGTAGAAGCTCAGTTCAACTTGTAACCTTTTCCTTGAGTTGCTTCATACCATTTTGACGTAACTGTGTCAGGGACAGTGATCTCGGGTCCTGGGGGAGAGTCCGCGGGCTCACAAATAGAGAACCCAATTTTCGGACTTTATTGATCTCTGAAATTTAAAATAGATCGAGACATGTGAACGTTTTGATCGTTAATGGTATTTCAGTTTATAAACATAGGAAGTGCCCCTACTCTGTCTTGAGCGTTGCCTATTAAGGCAGGTCGCCTATGCCGTTTTCTATAATTAACTGAAATTATGATGTAAACTAACTTACACCCTGTGTTCCTTTTACAACTCTCCTCTTGCAAAACTTCACAACAATTAAAACTATGTTGAAAAGCACGTTTCGTTCTGTTATTTTTACTACTATACAGGAATCGAGCTTATAAAAAACAAGTCAACCAGTTTTGTGTTATTTAAACATTTGCCAATGTAGCAATTGAATGTGTACTTTGAACTGATACTTTGAGAACGAAAAATCTAAATCAGCAAGGCAGTCATTGTACTTACCTCGCGTAATTTTGTTATCTTTGCTTCTCCACTTGTCAGTTGGACTCCAAAGAGCGTCCCTCGTCTCCGCAGCTGGTAGTACTGCATTGGCACTAATTTCTTGATTTTCTTTTTTGCCAAAAGACCAAACATGTCTAGGTGACTTTTGATTAGTGGCAGTTTTGAAGTTAAGCCTTTTGGTGGCTTTGAGCATTTCTGGAGACGGTGAAAGTAATGGTGACGCGGGAGTGAATATGGATGCCCTCTCCGCAGTGAGGTTGGGAGACTTCGGATATAGAGCTGGGATGGCACTTGTAGGATTTTGCGTTGGAGTAACGCTTTGGCACAGTTTTGTAATGACAACCTTGGGGATAGACGGAGTATATATCTCTTCTTGATCCTTGTCGTAGAAGGCATCGGGGGATGGCGGTGCGTGCCTGCGCCCACCTAGCGCTGAGTTCGGCGGGACTCGTGGGGAGGACGGGCTGGAAGCGGCATTTCTTCTCATTAGTTCTTTGGCACGACGGATACATTCTTGGTGAGGAATTTTCAATTCTCGTGTTATAAACCTCACGTTGTAACCGTATTTATCTCCCTCAGCATTCTGTCCGGACTCCTCTTTGGTTTCCGTACTGTCTCCGGACTCTGAGCGGTTCCCCGGCCAGTCACTTTGGAGACTTTGTCTCGACCCACACAGTCTCTCCCACAGAGCTGGATCTTCAAATTCCTTCTTCTTCTGTTTATCTTTTGCGTACTTGTCCAAGATAAACTTTTGGAAAGAACGTTCGGGGGAAGCGGCACAATTCAGTCGTTCCTGACTAGAGGAATTCTTTCCAAGCTCGAAGCGTACGGCCTTTCCTTTCGTATTTTGGGCGGCCCCCTTCATTGTTGCAGACACCCCTGATACCCCCTCTGCTTCGATGTACACTGTAGGGGGTTCGCTCCTTCTTAACCCAAAGTCACTGGGTTGAAACCATTTTGAGCAATTAACTGACTTGAAACCGGTTTTATTATGGCTAGTGGTCTCTTCTCCACTGCGAGACGTTTTTAATGAACTCCGCATCGGTTTCTTTTTCGAACATTCTTTTAATTTAAGCAAACAGGCTCTATAGTTGCCTAGTAACAGTTGTGATGACCTCTTAGAGTTAAGAGAGGGGTCAGGTGCAGGTTTAAAAGTTCCCTCTCTTTCCGAGTTAGGATAACCAGCGATAGTTGAAACAGCTGGTAATAAAGAGTTGGGTGTTTCCCCTCGAATGACAGAAAGGCTGGACCTCTGAGGCTGTACCTCATGCTTTTCTTCATCTGCCTCGTTTATTTCGTCGTTTTCCTGATTTGTGTTTTCAGGTTTGGAAGAAGAACACACGTCGTCCGAATGGTAATCACTATCACGATCACAAGGCTTGGCTTTACCCTTCCCACCTTCCTGTCCCTGAGGGTTTTTAGGACGGTTTCCTTCCTCAGTGACGCCGACTTCAGCGTCCGGATTCTCTGAGCACACGCTTTTAAACTTGCTTCTTTGGCGTTCCAACTTTTTCATTAGTAGAAAATACGTTGCTGATATATCGTTTGTTTTCCTCATTCTCACGGCTTCGCAAATCTGACCCTCTGTCCATTTGTATGTTTTTGCCATATAGTTAATAATGTTATGGTTGTAGTTGATTGCTGGGGTTGTTATTAAGAGAAGGGGTGCGTCCGTGGTAAGCCAAGGATGGTTCATTAGCTCGGATAACGTAAGACGCCGCTTAACGTTTGGCTCCAGCAATTTACGAAGAAGATCCTGGCACGCTGGAATCAAAGAAAGAAACACGCATGTTCAATTTTCATCAACGATTGTAATTTCCTCCTGCCAGAAATCGCATTTATTCCATTCCGTTCTCGCTCCTTATACGTTGAAAATTAATTACCACAGAAAGAAGTGAGATGCAAATAGTTAAGTCAGTAAGAATCTAAAAGCTTTTTTACCGAAGAGAGGAAAAAGGTAGAAAGAAAACACAGACACATGCTAGAAAAAAGTGATACGTGAAAAATATGAATGAAGCAAAAGAGAATACCTTCAGAAAGTGTTTGCGGAATAAAACATCGTTTTGAGATCTTTTCATGAATTGCGAGTGGGTCGGTTAATCCCTTGACGTTAAATGGGAAATTACCAGTCAGTAAAGCGTACAGCGAAACACCACTAAAAATAAATAAAGATTTTAAATGATATTGGTAAATCAATCAAACCGATTGATTTTTGCTAGTAAAACAGGATGCGTGTCTGAATAAAAATTTGGCACAGTAATGCTATAAAAAAATCAATGGATATTTAGAGAAGCACTCGACTAGAACAAACTGGAATCAAATCCGATAACAGTATCATAACAATGTGCATATTGTAGCCAAGGGTCCCCTACTCACATGCTCCAAAGGTCTACTGCGGGTCCGTACCGTCTTTTGCCGAGGATCTCTGGGGCCACATAAGCCGGCGAGCCACAGGGGAGTGTGAAGACGTTATCTTGTTGCCAAATTCCACTCAAACCAAAATCTGAAATTGAATCGACGTATTTTTTTTTATATAAACAATTCCCAACTATGCCGCGTACGCTGTTGAAGGACTGTTTCTTTTCAGTTAAATTGCCTACAAGAGTAACACACACAGTAGACGACACACGATTTTGCTTGAAATTTGATCCACTGATACACTTCTAATACAGTATTTCTATTGTCATAGTTCAAGAAGGAAGGACCACTTGTTACCACATCTCTATTGAGATAGTAGGGCCTATATTATCACCAAAAGCTGCATACAGACCCACTGGTTATACAATTATTTTACTATTCAGGTAAAATGTCTTGGACAAGACTTGAATCCAGTGATTGCTGCTTTTGATATACACGACTTTAATATTCCAGCAGTGACTATATACCATGGCAACTACAAGTCTACTGACTATACACACACTGTCATTAAGTAGAAACCAGTTGTTACTTACCTATAACCTTGATGTTGTTATTGTTGTCTAATAAAAAGTTCTCAAGTTTAAGGTCCCTGTAAAACAAAATATACCGACTGTTATATTGAATTTTGAAAAAATAAAAATATGAAAATAGTGGTCGTGTTTCTGAGATAAAAGTTTCAGTTACTCGCACTGTGACTACTGGCATGACTTACTAATGCACAAAGACCACCAAAAGCGGCGACTTTAAACATTATAACGCCTCTTGTAAAAAATCGAATGTCTGAAAAGCACTCGAGAACTGAATATGTATAATATTACTCCAACGGCGCCTACGTTCTCTTTTTCAATTTGCAGCTTACATCCAAGACCTAAACAAAATAGTGTTACTTGTTTTCTTGGAAGAAACAAATCATCTCGAAGCGCCTCGAGATGCGGTACTAATAGTCCTCTGAAGTGTTTAGAGAAGATAAATAAAGTAAATTTATTTTTGTTATGAGTCTATTGGTTGTATGATAAAGCTGTACCTGTGAACGACGTTGACCCTGTGGATGTGGTGAAGGGCGGAGACAATTTGCACCATATAACGTCGACATTCATTCTCACTGAGTGGACCTCTGAAACAAAATTCGTACACGTCTCCCGATAAAAAATGAACCTGTTAAAAACCAATAATTTAACGAAAATGTACTGTGATACGCTTTCAAGTGTCGAAGATTTTCTGCTCTTGGTGAAACATTTAGTCAAGATAGATTAACACAGGGAGGTCTGATCTCATAAATTATGGAAAAAGTCAACAAAATTACTGTTTATTTGCTTCAGGGCTAGTGACCCGATATTTCCCGAGTTGACTACTAACTGTATGTTAAGACCAGGCTCCATCAATAGACAGCCATCTCGTCTGCCTCTGATTTCGAATTTGATATTGTCAAACTGCAATACTGGGCTTCTTACCTTTTTGTTAAATGATCAATGAGACTTCCTCCTTCCACCAGCTCTAGAACAAGGTAAAAACTCCTTTTGGTCTCCAAGATCTCATACAACCGGACGATGTGGGGGTGATCTAGGCTTTGGTGAATCTCTGTCTCTTTCCATTGACCCTTGAATTCCGGGTGGCGGGCTTCCACCTTATCCAGGGAATCCTTTTCTACCACTTTCACGGCCACCTGTATTGAGGAATTGGTTTGAAAATCAACAGTTATCCGCTATAGACCTACTGCTTATCTCAACCACAGATACGTAATCCGTCTGTTCAGTCTTTAATTCGGCTTAGTTTTTGTGTACACAATACATGAACTTTTAAAGTGTGCGTCTTGTCATCGAGTTCTCTAGCTATTTATTCAGATTGTTGAATAAAAAATTCCTTGCAAAATCTCAAAGATACGCTTCCGGAGTTATTTTTCCGAGAAGTTCTGGTGAAAGCCCAGCTGGTCTGCCTGGGTAAGCATTGTCCGCGGCAATTGATCGCTGTTTGATATGACACTTAAACACTACGGTCTCATTTATTGCTATGTATCGCAGGTATGTAGCCAAGGAAGAATGCGATAGATATAACACAGCCTTCCTCTTATATAAATAAAGACGAATTTGAGGCCCCCTTTTCTTTCACACTGGAGCAGAAATTGACTGGATTTGATTGTATAAATTGAAAGAAGGAATAAACCATGTTTGTTCGAAACAAAGGCTGCGTTTACTTAGTGTAGCTTATCGATAGATCTAACTAATCGCGTGAGCACATTGTATAAGTTGATATCGATAAGTTGTATAGAAATAACAATACCAAACATTATAGTAACAACAATGTGAAAAGTAGCAAGGCAATTTCAAACTTCCTAACATGGATTAATCTCAAATATTTATTTAAGGCTTGATCGTATAAAAAAGTAGGAGTTTTTTTTTGGCTCATAAGATAAAATGAAATCCATTTACCCAGAAATGACAGTTTTGTAATATGCCCATTTTATGTTTTACAATCCCACTGTAGAATAGATATTCTCCGATAATATGAAAACAAATTCTGTGAGCGAAACGTAAAGGTGATTAAATAACTATGGTAACACCATTACAGTCACTTCATTAGCCGTTCGATTTGGCTGATTTGTTCGAAAAAAAAAATATGTTATACTAAAATTGATAAGCTACTTTTGAACCAAGAATAATACTAAACGGAGGTATAACACCAAAAACCAATTTATAGCTAAAAATTGCCTTAAGTGAATAATCATGTTCCTAACAAACAAAAAGAAAAAGGTCTTTTTTTCAGGTTCACACTTTATGGCAGTCTATCCCATGACGCTGCTTAAATTTAAATATTCGTAAAAAACTTGAGACGGGACAAAGCTGTCGTTATCAGTTTGGTAATCTGAGTATACGTGTAATGGCCAGAATATCTTATTTTTTAATTCATCTTCATGTTGCCTACAACCAAATCAACTTTAAAAATAACAATAAAAGATAAAAAATATTTTAAAAAGCACGTGAGGGTATATCATCAACTTACCTTTTCCTTGGTAGGCAGGTGTGTCCCCAATCTGACTGAGGCAAAAGAACCCCGTCCTAAGATGTGCGTCAGCGTGTAGTCACCCACTTGTTTCTTCTTCGACATTGATGCATCTCCAAACAGCGGTATACCAGAAGTATTTGACCCCCGCGATTTGGGAGGCTCCATCTGGCAATTTAGTTTAGTTCCGCTGAGACTAACTACTACTTAACAAGGTTTTCTTTTTAGACAGTTACATCTTGCTTGTGTTGAAATTTGCTTAGGCACTTCGTTCCATGTTTAATGTTTTCAAATTTCAGGGGTGGATTTTCTGAAAGAAATTGAAGTGACTTATTAATGCTTTCTGATGTAGAAGCTGTTAACATGTGGTGTATAAACTCAGAGTCTACGTGAGTATCCATACATGCAAGGTCTCGAAATCTAATCCAAGCGTTTCTGTGGAATATATTAGAGTTATCCTGCCGTTTAAAAGCGAGGCAAGACACTTGGACATTTGAAGTTAGCTATATAAAATCTCTCTCTCCCTTTTTAATCTTTTAAAATAATATGGTTTAACAGGAAAATAACGTACATTTAGGACATCGCCACATTGGGTTATCAGTTCTCTGCATGTCACAATGATGAGGATTTTTAGGAAGTTGTTCATGAGGAGAAACTCTTTAAATTCACGCAAAAGTAGTTTAAAAAGCATGGATATTATGCCCATGATAACACAAAATACGTAGAATATTTTCCCTACTATTCTTTCATGTAGTTTGAGGGGGGAAAAGTCACTCCTTGCACTGGACAACAAACCCTAAAAGATACGGTTGCTACATGTAACTTATCGTAAACAAGTTGACTTACCCTCACCCGAACAGTGGCTCTTTCTTTTGTGATCACCGACTGTACGGCGGCTAAGATCGGATTGGTGTTGGTTAAATGCTGTAGATTTTTTCCATAAAACATGTAAATGATAGATCGACTGTGCTAAAGTGAAATTCGCAAAGTCCGAAACCTTGCACCGTCGACCACGTAACCTGAAACTCTTTACCTGTACCGGTCTTATAAATGGTGTTAACACCTTTACTCTGCCCCAGGTGCTCTTTTCAAACCTTTTATAGTGCAGCGCTGTGATTTATTCGACGTTTATTCAATCGCCTTTTGTTTGTCTTTGATTGAAATTACATGAATGATCGGGTTTAAACGACAACCGTTCCCTTTATCAGCTATGTTTTATGTATACGTATGTGGATACAAATTGTTTTACATTGATAGTGAAAATGAATAGCTTTAACATTGTGTATTGTTTACCCAGCAGTGGCTGCGGCGTATACAAACAAACATCACAACATTGCAGCGCTTTATACGTTAAGGGTTGTAGTAAATGTTTTTATTCCATGTATATGGAGTATATAAAAACAAACAATTGTGATTTCTGTTTTATAATTATAAATAAGATTAAGATACGATATCCATTTCGCTTGGATAAAAGCGTTGATAAGCATGAACCTTTCTGAAGCACTTGCCAACACTGAAAAAGCGTACAGTGAGTTCTTTCACATACTGCGTTAGCAAGGACCGTCGTCTCTGACGCAATATCCAGAACTGAAAAAGGATAACTTTATCTGGCTATTTCATTTCTGTAAATGTTGCTTAATTGCGGGATTCAGTCTGAATCTCTCACGTCATCAAAACCTGATGCGATTTTGACAGCCCACTCGTTGAGGTTAACAGTGACCTGATATTACATCTTGCTTAACAAAGATGTGTAAATTAACGCAGAAGTGGGATGTACAGTTGTGATATCCTTACATTCATTGCATTTTGTACGTAAACGATAAAATTATTAAATTCTTTCACATCAACAGAGCATTAAGAACAAGATATTTGTAAACAACATGAAATTATTCAACACGAAGAGGTGATCAATTATCACACTGGTCACGTAAAATGACTCTGCTCCCTTCCCGTAAATATTGTGCTTCTAAACAGGCTGAGAAGTTCCCAGCATTATTACTCGCTAACACCTCTATCTTTTCTAATATCTCCTCTCGAGAAGAGGTGACAATGAATAGGGTATCTGCACAGATACTGTTTTGATAACTTGTTGGCGTTCGATGGGTATACATGAAGTAGAGGGTTTACAGAATGATTTTGGAGCTTTCAAAATGTTTAATTTACACAATGATCTCATACACCTTCTTTATTTAAATAAAGTTAAAGAGGGTAAATGGGAAAACAAAATCTTTTTCGTGTTTTGGCTTTCTAAGCGTTGAAACTCATAACTAAGGTGCTTTTTATACGTTGAAGGGGATACCGTTAAAGAATTAAAATTTTTGGTAGTGGGTATTGTAATGGTAGTTTGCAAAATACATGTAGTGTAATACAAATGTACATGTATTAATGTTCAGAGGTCTTAACCAAATGCACTGTACACATGTATATATAATAAAAATGGATACATTAATGTATGTGACAAGACTGATTTAAATCTATTAATTTGAATTGATATGGACATTAGCGGTCGACATTTAACATCAATTAAGCTCTGTAGAACTCACCACTGATTAATCCTTTTTCAAGTATTGAATCGACTGAGGGAGAGAAGAGAAAAAAGTTGATAAGATCCTTCGTTTCTGATATTAAAAAGCTCAGAAGCTGGACGCGTTCAAATGAATTTGCCTTTCAGGCTTTTAACGATATTAATTATAAATAGTGCTCCTAATTTATAAAAGTTATGTCCGTGTATTTTTTATCAGGGCCATGTCAAAAAAGGATAGTGAACTAGGATTGAATTTGTCTACATGTACATTAACTACATGTACTTTTTCAGGGGAGAGTACGGTCATCGTCCTCTCTGTTAGCAGGGAATATATATATCATATAGCATTTTTAGGTAAAAGATACCCCCAAAATTGATTGAGATTTCGCGCCAAATAAAAAAGCACAAAAGTGGGTTCAATCACAATTCAATAAAGGCTGAAAAATACAAACAACTCTTTGCTCTCTCTCTCTCTCTCTCTCTCTCTCACACACACACACACACACACACAAACACACACACACTCGTTCTCTCTCAAAGCTACATGTATATCACTGAGAAAGGATTGTACATGCATAATCAAGTAGTCATGTCCATGTTATCAATTGCTCTAAGGAATCATAGAGGAAGGGAATATTCTTCATACTACATACCTGTATATATAGGCCTACACATCTATATATAATAATTCGATAATAAGAGATCCTTATGCCTTTGAACCAGATTATATACAGATAGAAATGTTGATATACGTCATATTTTGACAAAATCTACTGTATTATACTTCCCGCTATATTACTACATTATGTGCTGGATTATAGTAAGTTATAAAGAGTATATGTAATCCAGCACTTCGTCAAGTAATTTCTGTGATTATCCAGAATTGTTTTACACAATGGCTTCACTAAGTTAATACAACCTTGATTTTGATGGGTTCATTGAAGTAGATAGCACATATCAGCCTTTCAGGTGGCATCGATCGATATGGCTTACTGTATCAAACAAAAACAATGGAACAATATGCAGCTCTGGTAATTATTCCGGTACGCGGAAAAGATTGAAAAGGATTAAGTATGAACTAAGGATTCACGTCGTTTAATTTTCAGAGCCGTTCACTTCAAAAATTGTTGAAGGAGTTAAGTAAAAGAAATCTGGGCAGTCTAACCTGTGATAGAAGTCTAATTGGTGATGTTTAATTAGGCATAACTTTATTTTCAAAACAACAGCAGATAACATTCTCGTAACATATAAGTTAATACCCGTTTTTAATTTAAAAAAATATAGGAACATATCGGGTTCATGTCCCCAAGAACCTTATTATTTGTTTGTCAATGTGGAAAAGAATACCAAAGCTTCGGCTTTTTCAAATGTCATTTAGGTTGTGCAAATAATCATTCCATTATTCTATACATGTATATTTTCCGTCGCCCACGTATCTTCTGACGATTATTGTTCTTAGTAAGCTTTGAAGCTTATCCCTTTTACTCTGAAAACGCGGATTAGTATTTTTGCCACGCAAGTGTAGATGCCTTCAAGTAAAATAACAATTAGGTAAATGATTCATTTCTTAAGACGTGTATAATGGCATGCGAAAATAATGTTTAATAGCCGTTAATGTACTTGAAATCAAGAAACATAATTATACCCCAGCGAAGAACATTCTGATAATAATTCCTTGCATTGTTGACATATCAAAGTAAGGTAGTTTTCAAGAGGATAAGTGACTTTCCAAGTAATTAGTAATAAGGAATATCTTGAATGATAAATTGGAGAGTGGTCCTTGATATAATGAAGATGAAGCTGACAATGGTGTCTGACCTCAGACAACACCAGTGAATACAGGACTCATATACAGCCAGGCCACTCATCTTTCTTTTATATCCAAGGCTTAAAAGATGCATAAGCTTTTTAAGCGCAAAAGTGGATTTATTTCTCTTCTATAAAGGAAGTAATAGATACACATTCACATTTAAGCTTTTCCACTGCCACATTTCAGACGCAATATGACAAGATATCCCCATCTATGTCATAATTCATGTAATAGAACCTCCGCTCCGTGGACTCGATTTAATCCTAAGAGACCGAAAAATCAATTGTCTTCCTCTCTTGGTGAGCTATCGATTGGCTCTCGCAAGTGTATGACGCTACATGGGAAGGCAGCACAGGAAAGGGAGACGAGGCTGCAACGAATAGATATTCACATTTCCATAGAAACAGAGCAACGTGTAGCAACTTAGAACACGAAATTTATTGGTTTATAACTAGTCCAGGTGGCACTGGCAAACGTCAGCTGATTTTTTTTCAGATTAGAAACCAAACGTTCTGGCAGAGAGAACACACGCCGCGTCAAGAAGGGTAACTTGGCTATAGAACTCCACTGCCAGGTAATTGAGTCGTCCTTGTTTAATAATCAACACTGCTGTTGAATTGATTTGAGAGAGTGGATACAGTATTAGAAAATAGAATGATGTTGTGTTGCTTTTGTGATAAAGATTTTTTGTTCCTCAGTTTTCAGATTTGCTCTTGTTTAATGTTCAAACTAATGTACGAATCTATTTTTTCTCTCATCATGCAATTTGTTAATTTTTCGCAATGCAATATTCACGTGTCAACATAAAAACAAATCTGTGGTCGTCACTCAATCTGGGATGCATGTTGTAAAGGATGTTTTCATGTCAAAGTGTTTTTTTTTCGGTTTCTGACGAAAATTCATCGATCGGATCAGTAAGGCTCATTTCTTGAGATTTGTTAATGATTGTATGTACGTACATGGTTTAACAGAGTTACATGCCTAGTGCTATATGCATGTCAATCTGCAGCCAGCTGGTAGTTTCTGTGTATTAGATAAAATGGATTCTCCTGCTCTAGTTTTAGCGGAAATATATTCACAAATTCATCGTTTATGTTTGCTCTGTTTAAATTCAAGCGGTAATTGATCACTGAATTCAACGCTATTTTATGTTATAAATATAAAAAAGACCCATAAGACAGTAAAATGTAACAGCAGATTTGATAATGTCTTTTCTTTTTAGATTAGAATTTTCATATTATATGCCACGTGTAAGGAGTGCAGGCGTTAGTGACTGAAAACGATTTGTTATAGAAACACACGTCGTATGCTGACAACTACTCTTTATGGGCAGTAGCTCCCCTGGGGCAAATATTCATGTGTTGTTTTTGTTCCAATATTTCTACCGTTACATATCCTCCGTGGAATTTATAATGGACAGATAAAAAAGGGCAGTAATTTGATACTGCTTATCGTTTATATGCTCTATAGTCAACAGCTCTCAATTCTGCGATATGAAACTTCAGATAGTACTACCATTTTGGTTTTTCGCTTTTGCACGTCATAATGTACTTTCATTATTTTCCTGATGTAGATTTGCGACCTAGACTTAAAGTCTATAGTTGAAAGCAAAAGTAGTCAGTAGTCATGTCAACATTTATAGATAATTATTTATTGTAAGTTTATTATTTGATTGCGTAGTCTTGCTTAAACCAACGTAAAGCCCAAGGCAACTGGACGTTGTTCAATAGCAGTCGGGATGAATATACTTTAAATTATATAAGGCATTGGTCAAATTTCGACAAATTACTTTTGCAGATTTTGTTCACAAAGTAAGGTCTTCTTTGCTAGTGAATCGTTGTAAATACCTCACTTTCACCCAGCACAACATACAAACTCTGACACATACAGATTCACATCTCTGATACGTGAGATAATGACTTTTTTTAGTTTCTATTACTGGACATAACTTTTCGAGAACAGTTATGCGAATTCTCCATTTGAGGTCAAGAGCATTTACAAATATATATCAAAAATCCTCGGTAAATATATCTATTAACCTTAAAAATTGACGCTTGTATCAATTTTACCCCGGACAAGTATTCGTTTTTTTCTCATAGATGTACCAATTTACAAGGTTTATTAAGGTATAGATATCGAAGAATTTTTGACCTGTATAGCAGAATATTTCCTCATGTAAGCCAGTTTCAGATAACTTGTATAACTATGCGTGATAATGGTATTCCTTTCTGTTACTTATTTCAGGTAATCGAAATTCAAGAGGTTATCAAAGCTTTCATGTAGAGTATCACTTGTTATCCGTATACCTCCTGTCATCTTTCACCGAGATCATATAAGCTTTAGAACCTTATGGAACTTAGTGTTGAAAGATGTCAATGTTAACACAGACTTAACTTGCAACAAAATGGGATTAATCAGCAAGGGTTTAATGGCACCAATGACACGACATTTCGATATATTTCCATAGGCTATTGCCGCCGTTAACCACTTGCCTCAGTACACACGCGTGTTCACTCGACAGGAATAAATAAGAAAGGACAGGCCGTCAGATTCTGTATTTGCTTCACTAATATCTTCACGTACTAAAATTGCCAATATTTTATCACGCATCTCATCCATTTGAATAAATAGTGATTGGAAATATATCTTCTCATGCTGAGACGCCCATGTGGTAATTTGATTTTGATATTTGCTGTAGCTACCGGAGTCGGGTTACTGATGGTGTTGATTAGGTTATATGGCTTGGATAATGTTCTCCTATGGCAACATTAACACTAAGCTAAGCATGTGTTCAATCCTATCTTTAATATATACAGTATAGTTGAATTAAGGTGAAAGAAGCTAATTGAGCTAGCGCTAGTGTTATAATGACGTCATCAATGATCCGCCACAGTTTAAACAAAATTAGCTATTTCCGAGTAGATGAACGATACCTCAATTAAATAGTTTTGATGAAAAAATGAGACTAATAACTTATAGGCGCGTGAGGATACATTTCGTTCCACATACCAACGGTGGTCCTCAGATCATATTCGCTCCCTTGGCTCTAACTTGTTTCCTAGAGGCTCCATTCTGGTCCTACACCTGTTCTGTGCATCATGATGTGACCAAACGTGGTCCCGAAATGTGCCCTTGGCTGGCTCTCTTTTGGTCCCGAAAATATTTTCTGCGGTATAGTCTTGAGACAAGGGACCAAATTTTATCTGAAGACCAGAGTAGAGCCTAGCTAAACAAATGTACTTGTGTATAAAACGTTCTGTCTGCCAACTAATATGAGGTGAATATTAATACTGTTAGCAACTGCCTTTGCTGGTTAATAAGAAATCGAATTTTAAATTGCTGTTTTTTTATTATTTTCTGATTTTTCCTCCCGCTTAGCACGAAATTCACGCGTTAGCACACCTGCTTACACATGGATTTTCGTGCTACTCCTCACTAAAACCTGAGTTATTTGACATTCGTCGTTAATACAAAAAAGTATGCGATTCCTGAATCCATCTGCAGTGCTGCACGTTCAAAAAGTGTCTGTACAATTTTGACTTTTTGAGATCAAAGCCGTTTGACAATTTGAATGAACTGAGTAACAAGGTGTAGATTTTCATCGCAATATGACCCAAGATGCCAACTGTACAAGCAATACATGTTTGATTCCGTTAACACCTTGACATTTCTCCGATTTAAAAGGGGAATTCATAGTAAAATAAAACTCTGATTTGGGAGATTGAAAGTCTCAGGAAACTGAATTACCTTAATCAAACGGAATATCCTGGAAATGGTGAATGACGTGCGCCATTTATCTTATTCAAGACAAAAGAAAACAATCGTATTGGCAGAGAACTGTCCAACTTGTGCGTCTCCTTTAGGTTCGTAAAAGATTCGATTTGTCTATACCACATCTAATCCAGATGCATCTTATATCTCTTAGATGCTGTTTCAATGGGTAAAGTAAAGGGTTCTATGTACATATAAAAAATTCTAGCATCATTTAAACGAACATGAAGTTACATTTGCTTTATCTATGTACAAATCTAAATGACCAATATTATATATGAAAATTAACAAGATGATTTCATTTGTGACTTAACGTTACTGTGTGTTAAGTGGTCATTTCTTAGATGACCACCTTTTAAATTAACTTACATGTAGCAATTTAAGTGTTAGATGTTATTCTGCTAAGGTTAATATCAACATGTCCACATCGTATTTGTCAACTAATTTTAGATCCGGGAGTACATGTATTAGGTAGTCTTTGGTCGCCTATGTCTTCTGTGGTTTACATTGTAAAATCAAGAACAGACACCTTCCCCAACACACAAAATAATTTTCCCAAAACTGGGCAAAGACAACAGGGAAGTTTCGACTTAACATGTACATTTATACAACAACATCACTGCACTTTCAAACGTCAGTTTCAAATTTCAGTTGCCGTGAAATTTGCTTTTTGGTAAATCTGTTTGTGATGCTTAAGTTTGCACTGAAATGATTCTATACTGTTGCTCTTTTTTCTCTGAACCCGTTAACACAAGATATTTGATAAAGAGATAGAAAAAGCCGGCATTTAAAACCACATAGCGGTTGAAACGAGTTCGGTGAACACGATTCTGCTTGAGACTATTGTCAGTTCTGTTGACGCGCAACGTGACGTCTCTTTATGTCTGTATCTAGCTGCTCTTCAAGGTGTTTCATTATACTCATGCACTTCTGATATCTACACATTCCCTATTATTTGACCTAAATATTTTGTCCCAAAGGTAGAAATCAAACTTACATTTGGCGCAGAGCAAACAACAATACAAGAAAGAGAAAATGGTTTTAATGGCATACAATGATAGAATGGATTCCCTCTTGGCTGATATACCTAGACGCATTTTTTTTACTGTAAGTGAGTTAATCAATAACCTTTTATAGCGGTATATCCATACAGCTTGTAAGAATTAAAAGCGCATCAATCTCTGGCGCCCCGTGTCCTGGCGATGCAGGGATTACCAATAACAATATTCTACCAACAGCAGTGAACTGAGGAGAGCAGCTCCGACGGGAACAAAGCATCGACATGCATTGCCGATATTCTGTTGTTTATATTCTGGGTTAATATTTAAATTTTAGACGCCAGGTCTTTGGTCTGCAGTGATGACATAGAAAAAAGACATTCATTGAAAAACATAATATCAAAATAAGCTTTTCCATATAATGATGAGACTTAAGGCCCCTTGTAGTTAATGAACATGAATGTTTGACGAGTTAAATTATATCATCATTTCACACTTTTCATTCAAATATAGTAAAATACTCTTACGGTGATATCACATAAACCTCGAAAATACATTTTTTGACATCCAAAAGAAAAATCGCCACAGTTTTTTTCATCAGACATTACCCTGCTGAGTAGTAATTTCAAACCAAGTGGCTAGATTGGCATGACACCGCACTCGCGGCGCTCTGAAAAAAAGCTTCTATCAGTCGTACGAAATGATTTGAATCTCGTTTTCTTTAACACCGGATACCGTCCGTCTTAGATTAATGCTTTAATTATTCACATACTCTGTCAAATTCCGTGACAATGCTGAGTGTTCA